ATATGATATATGTATGGTATGATATAATCATATTTTAAATGAAATTAATTATGATATTGTAAAGGAAGAGTATTTTCATATTGTACATTTTGTCAAGTATGAAATGAAATGTGATATCACATATGACATTAAACATGATATTACATATGGTATTATGTAAGAAATTATTTTTTTATCATATTAATATTAGATGTGATATTATGAAATTATAAATAATATTATACACTTACATTCTCTATTAATAATGAAAATGATATTATATACAGCATTTTTTATGGTATTATGATACTATATCTGATATGAAATGATCATGTTACGTATGATATTATGATATTTTTTACGATATGATACTATGATATGATCTTTTGATATTATATATGATGTTATAATATTATATATGACGCTACTCTAAATTGAGAGTACATGGCTCTGAATATTGAGTTGCGCCATCTATGTCAAAGGCAAAGTACAGGGGATGGATGGCGCAACTCCATTTTCAAACAGGCAGTTCGCGCCATGTATGTCCCTAAAAACGATCTATTTTTTGCAATCTTCTGCGCTGGTTTGCACCCACAATTCTTCCTCAACATCAAGCTGCCTTTGGAGGACATAGATGGCGCAAGTCCCACTCATTCGCCAAAATCAGGCTGGGACTGCCCACACAGATGGCGCAAGTCCCTCATACCTCCCTGCAGTCCTGCATGTCATTGGTCCCATGTTGACTGGACATTCCTCGAGATTAGTCAAGACCATGTATATATATATATATATATGTATATGTGTGTGTGGGTGTCCATGTGCGTGTTGACGTCGGGCATCCACCGGTCCTAAATGCCTGGCCACGCATATCAGTGAGCCCTGAAAAGGGTAGCGTCCGGGTGAATCGGGATTTGAAGAAGAAACAAAAGAAGACACTGTAGACTTTGCTGATCCTCCCACTGACTTGACCTACAGTAAAACATGAGCATGACATCAACTTTGATAAACCTATATAGAGCAGGTGCGCCATCTTGAGAGGAATTACGCTCTCTTTAAATAAACGCGTTTTCTCATATCAAAAAAATGTTTGTTTTGGTTTTTTGTTTCGCATGAACCATGCCATGCAGCACAGAAACCGTCCTTTTTTGAGCCCATTGTATAGATGTTAGTCCTGTGCCTGATCTTCTGCCTCTTGCTTTTCCCTGCGGGTTTTCTTCTCTGAATTGTTGATTCCCTTTCTCAGATGTTCAAGAGCACCTTCACTGAACTCCATTCTGATCGTCGAAGTGCCAGATCCATCAAAAAGGACATGAACCAAACGTTCCTCCCACCCCCCCACAACCGCTGGCAGATGAATCTGCAGAATCTTGGGGCACAGGTGACTGTCAGACATGCATGCTCTGCGCCTGCGTTTCTTCACTTTCTCCGCGCTGTCCTCACCCTGCATGTCATGGATGGCTGAATGAAGCCTGATCAGCAGCTTGCTGTCTGCGTGTGAGAACCTTGTCCAGGAACTCACAGTCAACACTGGCCCGGTTGTTAGATCCCTTGCGCAAATCCAGTCTTTTGTCAGTGGCAAATTTGACAAGGCCTCTGTCCCACTTGGAGAGCTCAAAGAACCTCATGCCGTCAACTTCCTGTTGCTTTGGGCACCATGATTGCACTGGCTGACCCCACTTGATCACAATCTGGGTCTCAAGGGAAAATGCCATGGGCTCGCTGAGGGCAGGCAATCAGGTACAGCACATATATAGAATGTAAACACGCAAAAATGACCGGAAAGAATTTGAATTCGATTTAAATGGCGCAAATCATTTTTGAACCCCTCTAAAAAAATACCGGTGTTTGACTGGGATTTAATGGACATAGATGGCGCAAATCATTTTTTGGACAAAAAATCTAGTGGAATTTCAACGGAATCTACTGTATCGGATTTTTGTTAGCCTACAGTGGCAGTGGCAGAGTAGTGAAGAGCCCCAGCCTTCGACGCGAAGCAATCATTTGGCAGGTGCCGAACGCGGGCCGTGGGGTTATCCTTTATTTTAGGACACCCAAATATGTATATATATATATATGTGTGTGTACATCGGAAATGTAGTAAACTTAGTAAACTATACACTTATGTTTCCATCTACTGGGGCATCTACCTTTTTCATTTTGAAGTAAATTGGTCATCCAATATGCGCCATTTTGCGGCGAAATTTTCCTCCATTGGATCTTTGACACAAGCCACATAGATGGCTCAACTCGTTTTATGTTCCAGCCAAATAGCGCCGTTTTCTTCCTCACCGCGCGGTGCCATCTTATGCGTATTTTGGTATTTGAGTTGAGCCATCTACTTTCATGTAGTATACATGTGGTATTAAATTAACAAATTATATATGACGTTAAATATGATATCAAAAATGATATGATATATCATATTAAATATTATATTATATATGATCTTAAATCCTATTATATATGAAGATATATGATATTCTATATCATATTATATAATATATTATATATGGTATTAAATATGATATTATATTTGATATTGTATTTGATATTGTATATGATATTATATTTGATATTATAATTGATATTAAATATGATATTAAATATGATATTTTATATGATATTATATCATATTCAATATCATTTTATGTAAAATATTAAGATCATATTATTCATGTATATTTGACAATTACTGTATCATCCAGAATCCCCATATAATGAATGTAGATAATGATGGGGATGAAATGGATACGATTGGATTTTCCAACAAGGAATGATGTAGGTAATTATATTTAGATATCGTGTAGTTTCGGAAATTCGGAACATCGACTCACAAGTTAATATGGTGATATGGTGATGGCTTAGTACACCCATGAATACTCATTGATGTCTGGGTAAATTATAATATCTCACTAACCACTAACCTGAATGGTTCAGCCATAAAAGGGGATGATTTCCCTCAAAAAAAACATGATTCCAGGCTTCGGGAGAACAGTGAGGTCGTTATAATTTACCCAGATTTGCGGTTACTCTCATGGGGGATGGTAAAAATGGCGGTGTACGTGACGTGACAGGGTCCGCAGATCCGCAATTCAAGCCAATGAGGTAAATCCAATCTCCCGTGCCGAGGTCATCAGCACCAAAAGAGAGATGTTTGGGCGCTTGGCTTTTGGACTATATTGAAAACCATAAATAAATACACAAATAAATGACAAATAATGGCTTATCCAATCATAATATCCAACAAAAACAAATATAATCAAATACCCAATATGGCTTATTAATTAGTTTACAAATAACAATGTTTATAATATTCAATAATAACGGGGTATTATTCAATAAATAACAAATACTAATAAACCATCCCCAGCTGGAGTTTATCATTGGCTATATATCTCTATTTGGGATGATTGCTAGGATGGTTTATTGGGGTGACCAAGTGTCTTCTGAGGCTTCCGCCCGGCCACAATCCATGTTTACATCTCGCTTAACATTTGGAAGTAGAGATATTGGCTGTAAGCTAATTGCTATTACAAGTAGCCCGATCCCATCTATCCTTGGAACTCCCCCGACATCCCGCCTCTACACCGCCAAGGGTAGCAGGCAGGTGAAGGGTTGAAGCTGTGACGGAGACCGTGGAGTTCCTTCAATCTATTGGAAGATGATAGTTTCTTCATGTAAGAAAATGTAGAACACTTATGAGAAAATGTCAATTGCAGTTTGGAAAGACATAATTTTCTCCATCCACAATCCAAACGCTTGCCCAATTTTTGTTATTGAAACCCTCCAGTTTGAGTCTGCTGAAAAACATCACATAGGAATATCAGGGGATGGGTTCAAAGACATCTGCCGGATAAGATGCCACTGCTGTTGCCGCTGGGGTGAGAATTTCGTCAACCGCAGACCACTTTAGAAGAGTCCATCAATTTGGCTACGCAGGTTGTAGGTCAATCAACAAATGTGTTTCTGGACATCTTACAAACAACTTCCAAAAAAAATATGCTTTCTGAGCCAAAATGTTTCGATGGGTCGCCATACTGTCTATAGTGGAACGGATCACGAATGCTTCAGCTGTAGGCCTAGTCATGACTCAAAATGACAAAGAATGCCTCTGAATGCCGCTCCGAATGTGTCTATATAGAAAATGCGTCTCAAACCCACAACATTGACTACCCCAAATGTAATGCTGAACGATCTGTTCAACAAATTAAAGCCCTGTTCCGTTGGCTTCAAAGCATCTAAACGGTGGCCTTCACCTGTACCTCTACACGTGAGTGTGGGTCAAAAAGTGGCACGAGTGGAGCCGCACCTCAAAATCAATACCAACTTGTGCAAATCTGCTATGGCTGCTATGGGTATGTGCAAAAATGGGGGTACTGGATGAGCCAAAACACATTCGAAAACACATGAAGTCCACGGGATGCTGTTGGTTTTCCTGAAATTTCGGACAAACCAAGCGTAGGCAGATCATGCGCCACCAAGTCAGACCCTTTTTGCATAGCGAGTCTTGGATACCCGGCATGCATAGAGGTTTGTTCCGCTCGTAAAAACATGTAAATATCCCTAGCATGGGCCATTTATAGGAAAAAGTCAAGTACTAAATCATCCATGCAAGAATGAGCTTGCCTTTTGCACCCTCTGGGATTCTGGCATTGTCACAAGGGCCATAGTCTTTGCCATACGTTTTTTCAACGCTGGAATGGCATGAAACGCGCGCATCGTTTCCTTCGCGGCAGGACATGAACATTGGCTGCTCGACCACATCTGTGGTCCAAAGGTTGGTGGTCGTTCATAAACCACAAAATGTACACTGGATCAGACTGGATCTGGGAAATTACTTCCTTTCCATATCCTGGAAGACATTCTTCATTGAACAGTATCCGATCATATCCCAATTATATTCCATTTTGGAATTCAACGCTATTCCGATAAAAGAAAGAAAAACGTTGGTGTTTCCCTATCGAAAGCATCATCCATGGCTCCGCCACCACCGAGCTTTTACCCAGATCCATCATGCGTCTTCATGCTGCGGCGCCGTCTCGCTGCGTGCCATCCTTCCGTCTCAATGGATTGGTTGAAGGATTTTTTTAGAGGAACCCCCCTAGATTTTCCCTCAAACCAATCCATTGATAGTGAATGTCAAATTTAATCAAAATGTCAAAGCCAAAATCTGTATGAGGATCATTTTGACATTCCATTTTAGCTGTTCGTGATTTGATCGTCCATCATTATCGTAAGAGAGATCACTTTAGTTCAAACATTTGTCAATCGCAATCTGTAAATTATGTGTACCATTAATTGCACGTGTCATGACTATCTATGTGTATCATATCATATGTATAGTCATTATATCTATGTCTATTTCATGAATCAATCATATGTGTTTATCATCATGAAAATTCCCCAAACAAAAATTTCCAAGTAGTGGATTTCCAATTGGGAAGATCAACAAAAATCACCGCTCTAAGCCTTGACCTGCGACTGGGAAGCGGGCCACTGACCGAATTGGTGGATGTTTAAACACCAATTTTGGTGCTTAACGGGGCTTAATTTGATTTCAAAACAACAACCTATAAAAACCGAGCTAATGTACTTTTCAACTAGGTCACTCGGATACCAGGGATGAACGAATGATGTACCTGTATCTATAGTTTGATGGCTTCAAAACCAGCAAACATAATTGGAGAGACCACATTGTAAAACATGATTTGATAGTTTTTTTTGGAATGTCAAATTCTACAATGCATACCCATATCATGTATGTCTGTGATGGTAGATATGCTAGTCATGTTCGGGGATGAGACATAATATGTGTATCAGTGTATATCTGTGTCTATGCCTGTCTATCTATCTATCGATCTATCTATTTGCCTTCCTGCTTACCTGCCTACCTACCTATCTGCTTCTTGGCTGGAGGATGTCAGACTGAAACCATGCTGGCCTAAATGCTGGCCTACTAATCCCAGGATGGAGGACATCAAAATCATCTACAGTATATGATTACATCCTGCCTCAGGACGTTTTTATTATGCTGGTTTCTGGCAACAATATGTTGAACTTACTGAAAAAAGGGGGTGGCAAATTGTGGCATGGCCGTATTCTGTGAATCATGGAAAAGTATAGAACATTAAGAAACACACGGAGACACCTGGACATTTGCCGCCATCATTCATTGGTTCTCCATATTTCTCCCAAACTGGGCGGCAAGCCCTTGATTCCTGAGCCATTGCAACCTGGCATCGATATTTCCATATGGAGGTTTCCAAAAATATGGATACCCCCAAATCATCCATGTTCAATGGGATTTTCTATCAACAAAAACCATCCTCCATTAATGGAACCCCCCATATGTTACCATCTGGGTGAATTATAATATTTCACTGACCACTAATCTGAATGGTTCAGGCATAAAAGGGGATGATTTCCCCAAAAGAAAAACATGATTCCAGGCTTCGGGAGAACAGTGCGGTCGTTACAATTTACCCAGTACCATATATTCCCCAAAAAAAGATCCCACCTGAGCCATTTGCAGAACTTCATCACGACGTCCCACCAGCAAGGCCAGGTGCAGCTCAACTGGGGATGAAATCGACCCGTGTGAACTACCCCAAATAGCAAGGATTTGAATTTAAATCTATAATCTCTACAGTTATGGCCATGTATTAGTGATAACTGGTTGTAAATGGGATTGTATGGGATTATACATTCCATTTTTATGGAGTTATACGTACGTATAACTGGTAAAGGGCCATAACTGTAGGTATTCAAAAAACACATCCAATATTATTTGCTAACATGAATCCAGAAATGGTGTAATGGCTGGTGAAATGAAATCTATATAATGGTTCAATTCCATAGTAATTTAACAAATGGACTGGTTAAGCAAGGTAATTTAACCAATGGAATCTCATGAAAAAACTAACGTTAGGTAAATAGTGATTCAATGGTTAGTCACTCAGTGGTTGGATTAACCATTAAAATCGTGGTTTAACTCGATTATAGCATACTATAGCAAGCTTCAAAGAAATGTAGAAAAAAACATCCTACCAAAGTAGTGATTTATCATAAACTGCATATGTCTCTTTTTTTCGGGTGTACAACAAAAGAACAAACATTGAATAATCGGGATGTGTGACTCCTAGAGTGATTTTTTACTTGGGAGAAGAGCATCAAAGAATTGAAAGAGGTGGGAAAAAAAGGTCATGTAATGAACACACATGAGGATAAATTGGGATGATCTTGCAATGGAAAATCCTTCATTCTTGTCTTCTTCAAACTGGGGACGTTCCAGGGCCATGTATAAGTACTGCAATAATGCAGGAATGCACAGCATCAAAGTTCAGTGGGTATTTCAAATCGTCAAGGTCAAAGGAGGCTGATTTCGGCGAAGATGTGGGATGGCTCCAAGTGCAGCTTCTGCTCTTAAGAATGGTCGCCCCTTCAAAGTATTAGTAAAGTCAGCTTCAACTTCCAGGATTAAACATGCACTTTGATTTAAAAAACCTATGCGGACAAAAGAAAAAACATAACACAAACCTGATCTTTGGGCAAGGTATTCTCAAATTGAAGCATTTGGTCCTTGTCACATGAGTGGTTAATCGAAGGTCTGCGCCAAGGTACTTTCTCGTTTGTGGTCTTGCTCAGGTCAAGTGTCTGTCTCAAGGATCCCCATTGAAACACGACGGACGACGAAAGACGACGAAGAGGAAAAAACGAACAAAAGGGTTTCAAGGGTTCCTCTACGGGACCTCCGGGGGAAGAAATTCCAAGGGTTCCTCTCCGGGACCTCCGGGGAGAAAAAAATAAATAAATAAAATCAAGACGGGCACATACCATTGAGAAAAACACATAGCATGTTTTATGCATATTTGCAATGTTCGGTCGCAAGTGTTCTTCCCCGGGGTATGGGTTTGTCTCCGGGATTTCTTTTTTTTGCAGCCTTGAGCGCGAGCCTTCACTGTGGGAAAACACTTGGACCTGAGAAATCCTTCGAATATGGGAAAGTTTTCGAGGAATACTGCTGGGAAACCAGGACCTTTGAGGAGGGGAAAAAGAAAGCACCTTTGATACAGGGAGGAGGGCCGAGACAGGCACATACCTTTGAGAAGGTAGAAAACCCTTCATCCATACTTTTGAGTCAAAAAGGCGACACAAAACCTGGCCTTAAGATTCAGAGCAGTGGATCCTTTTGGATCCTTTTGGGATCCCATGCCATCACAAGCCCGGCGCACATGGGATCCACTTTACACCAGGACATGGGGCCTGCTGTTCTCATTCGCCGGAGGAGACTAGTGAAACAGTGAAACATCCCAATTTTTGGTGGCGCCCTAATCAATGGATAGCCAATTCATCACCAGGGACAAGAGAAAATTCACAGATGTCAAGGTGCGATCCCAGATTTCGTCGTCCTCATCTTCGTTGGAAGAAACCACCTCCAACAACAGCCTCAACTCATCTGGTTGGCTTCGAAAACCAGATTTCGACATATAAATTCATTGTTTTGAATCACCCAACACAATAGTCCAAAACTGCTAAAGGTCTTTTAGTGGCTAAACCCAGCAGGGAAAAATGTTACTGTCCAATTCTCAACTTGTGCTGGACATTACTTAGAAATTATGAGCTGGATCTTCCATGATTTTCCTATTGAAGATTATTCTGTTCCATTACCAAGCTGGATTGCCGGAAGTGAATTGACAGCACAAGACATGATTTTCTTCACATGAATGGATATGTTTGAATCAGCTTAATTAATGAGAAATGGCAGAACCATTATGAACCATTTACAATTTGCAAATGTTCCAGCGCCAAGCCGCCAAGTGAGCGGTGTTCGAAACTTCAATAGTAGAAAAATGTAGCCAATATGGTGAGTCTATGATCGTCTTGCTACCGGTTTCTGTGGGGCATAGTAGCCAGGAACCCCTTTGCTTGCGCGAAGCTTGCGCGAACCTTACGCAAAATTCAGGATGTTTGAAAACCTTCAAGGGTCAAAATTATACACGCAACAATTAACTCCATGGCCTATTACCATTCAGAATCCCTTTTCGTTGTATATTCATTTATTTATGTTTCAATGATCTACGTGATTTCGGGCTTGCGCGAAGCTTGCACGTACATGAGCTTGCGCGAAGCTTGTGAAAAGCTTGCGCGCGTGTGACGCCATTCAATTTCTTAAAGAATAAATTCCACCGAATCGCCGAATACTAAAATCAATTGCCGGCAGTTTTGAACGTGGCTCATGTTTGATTGGGGGAAGCACCATCCAAAACATATTGGAACCTCCGGAACATCTCAGGCCGTCATTTCCAGATCCCAAACTTTGCCCCATTATCACTTCTCTTGGTTAAATCCCTATTTATTCTTGGATTCATCGTCCAAGTCAATTGCTCCAGAAGATCTAAGACATGGATCGACAAGTGTCTCCACCAACAATTCCAATATATATATATACACATATATATATATAATTTAATGCATGTATACTAATGTTATTTGTGCATGTTTGCTCATGGATGGAATCCAAATAATCATTGTTTACCCTGGTTAGCGAAGTGTCGACCAGCCAAAACAGGACCCAACATTGGATATGTAAGAAGAAATATATTGGTTGTAGTATATTTACCCTCAAAATTAATACCTAACAGTATGTAAAAAAAACAAACTACCATTTTGTATTGGCAAAAATATATTCACAATGTTCTCCATTTTCAAGACTTTATCATTCAACCCATCTTAAACACCCAGATTCATCCATGTTTCATGGTGAAAAAAATGGAAACTCCTGAAATGGCTATGAGTCATTGATAAATTGGGTACCCCAACAATTCGATAGTACTAAGAAATACATCCCAGATCTGGCAAACCATCCCAAGTTAAGCATAATGTTATAAATAAACCATCCCACTTGGACAATTCCCACTTCGCAACAATAGACATTCCAATCTGTCCCTGCAAAATTCTGACCCCCCACCAAATCGCCCAGCAGCTGTTTCTGCATCTGCTGCAGCCACCCAACGACTTCCTCCATGGCTCCCGTTCGGCCGCCCGATAAACGACTCGCGGTCAGCGAACTGTGGATGGCCCGCGCCTGGCGTTTCACCTGGCGTGGGAATTGGGATGTTTCACCGTGAAAAATGGTGTTTTTGTTTTGGAAAAGTGAATGTTCCATCGTGGAAAATACGGATTTTGTTAAGATGAAAAAGTGAGGATTGTGCGCAAATTTTCAAATTTTGGTATGCAATGAGGGTAAACAGACACACGTGTCAACGGCAAACAAATCTAAGCCCTTCTCAAGCCCCCTTGAAGCTCCCCTTGAAGCCCCCTGGAGAAGGGCTTGAAGCCCCCCTTCAACCCGCCCCTTCAAGCCCCCCTTCAAGCCTTCTGAAGGTGAAGGGCACTGTTCGTTTTAGTCTTCGGATCCTTCCTGCCACCGCAAGCTCCGGATCAAGTGTTCCCCGCCGGACCTTTATCGCAAGCGATCAGAGTGTTCCCGGTGGAACCTAAAACACAAAGAATCTCCGAAGATTTACCAGATAGAATGCCAGAAAGAATGTCTGCCAGATAGAATGCCAGGAAGAATGTCAGAATATATGCCAGAAGCTATGTCAGAATAGATGCCAGATAGAATGCCAGAAAAAATGTCAGAGTATATGCCAGAAACAATGACTTCCAGGTGGTATATGTCAGAAACTGTGTCGGAATAATGGATCAGGGCGGGGATCACTCGAAGAAAACAATGTATTTTACTGTGGGAAACGCAACGCCATAAACCCAGCACTTGGCGATGGTTTCTACCACCCATTTCTGGTGATTTTGGGGGTTGACTCCACCGGCCTCGGACTGGATCAACTGCATCACGGCGGAGACCACATAAGCACCATCGGGTCCTGAGCATGGCATGGGAATCATCCTAAGGTATTCCAAAAAAAAAAGGGCTGATTCACCATCAAACATCTAAAAATATCCGAGAAATTCGAGACATGTAAAAAGCGTTGTGAAATGGAATTGGTATGACGTAGGCGTTTGACAAAAATATGTACTGTCATGAATGTATACACGGCATGAAATCATCGTTTGTCATACGAAAATATACTGTAGGCATAGCACTATAGAAAGCAGTTGGTCAACCCATCAGTACTGGATATGGGTCCGATTGAAAACAGGGAACTTGTTCCGAATAAAAAATGCGACCAACCACTGGATTTCAAGGGTGCCTTACTTTCAGACAAACCCAGGTAGCATATGCCCATCTTTGTCAATTACATGGTATAGAAAATGTTTACATGAACAACAAGTTTTGAATTTCAGATACAGCTGAAGGAAATTCATTGTGTTTCCTTAAGAATCAAGACAGTGAAACCAAAAAAACATTTCCCAAAGTCTTTGGACAATCCAATCGCCCTAATATTAAACACCCCGAATTGTATGGCCCTAAATTTGTGATTTCATATGCTTTCATCTCCCAACCAAGGTTACTGGGGCATGAGTTATCATGAATTCCAACATTTTCCGGAACATCGACCCACCCTTAAGGACAGCTCCCATCAGCAGCGAAGCCAAATCCAAGGAATGGCATGGCACCTCCTTTAGCAAATGGAAAACCCACCATTTCCAGATCCTTTCCTTGGGTTTTCTCCACGGGGTTTTCCGATCTTAATTTACTGGAGGGTATATATATTGCATCGCACTTACCTAGTACTTATATCCACATTTATCCCAAAAAAATATCAAGCACATACCAATGGGTCAACTGGCGGTCAATTTATGTGTAAAAACGGGTGCCATGTTTTCCCGAAAGGAACTGGCTATTAATATTATATGTATAGAGGTTTCTTCCGCATCAATCGTTTTTCAAAAACTGTCAAATATATGCAATATGAAACATACAGACAAAACAAATATTTACGAGTGCTTGAAAAGCATGTGTTTATACATGGACTAATATATACATATGATATAGTTTTAAAACCTACCATACAAACCAAACTTCCAAGACATTTCCCGTGGAACTACTCTCCTCAATCTCTCCTCGTTAAAGGCTTCCAGCACTCTTTGCGCCACCGAGGTCGCGCAGGTCGCCGATGACGAGGCCGCCACTGGCATGGCAAGTAATCCTGGGCCCAACGGGATCTCAACCGTTTGGATCATCCAAGCTGATACTGTAATTGGTGGGTTCGATGGGGTTAGATTTTGCCTACAATGCATGTTGTAAATAAAATCATATATATATATATATACACTATATATATGTGTGCATATAAACATAACCATCCTGAAGTAGACTCAAGTAGAAAGAACATACTAGAATAACGACATGAAATTTAATGATGTCCCATTTTCGTGATTGTTCTTGAAAATGTCACTATTCAAATTTCTACCCACGCAATGGCGACCATATTTGAACAACATGGGATAAATGCGAGAATAAATGGGATAAACATGTATAGTCAAAGCCATGGAGGGTTGAACCAGGCTGACGAATCGAGAGTACAAACTGGAATGACCTTATTGGGAAGCACGATGCTTAAACCCAGGTCAGCGAGGCATACCGATCTCTAAAGTCTGACATAATGTATCCAATGAAAAAATGGGTTGCGAGATTTCTCAGCAACCAACATAGACCTTCGTGTTGAAAAAATTGCTTTTTGGCAGGGTCGATGTATGTCCATATCAGGCCTAACAGAGCCAGTCCTCAGTTTCCACTATAGCAGCTTAAGTTATGTTCATCCGAGGTTGCACTAGACTACCCACCCAAGGTTCAACCAAAAAAACTCCACAGTTTCTGCCAAGGCTCTCTTCACCTCCTCCATGTCTTCCTTGTATGGCGCCAGGCTCCGTGGAGCCGTGCTGATCGCAGCACACGCCCGGTGCCTGGGCAGCCATGACTTCTGGGGTAAATGTGTGATGTACGGACGGTCCCGTGCTTTCCATGGATAGTTGTCCAAGTCTATCTATCCATGTGTCTATCTATGTGGCAAAATCGCCGATTCGGATTCGCCTGTTTAGTGGCCCAAACTCCTCTGCAGATCGCGGCATGAGACGTACGTTGCAGTGGCAAGACTGGCTGCAGCTGAAGTCCAAGACTTGCTGCATGCACAAGATGTGTGCTGGAATTGCTGAACATGCTGTAGGATCCTGCACCATGTTGACACAAGTGGATTTCATGTTGGATTGAAACATAAATGCCCATATTAGATGGCCATTGCTTGCACTAAACGAGCGAACCGTTAAGCCAAAACAAGGCATGAGCGTTTGAACTACATTTGCCGCAGCATCTTCGTGATATAAAGACCCCTAGCCTTGCATCTGCATCACCTCTTCGAACAAGCGGTAAAAATAACATGAAGGCAAAAAACAAACAGGGTAATGTAGGGGATATAAATGGGGTATCCAAAAATGGTTGGTTTATAATGGAAAATCCCATTAAAATTGATGATTTGGGGGTACCCCTATTTCAGGAAACCACCATGTGGTAATCTACAAAATACAGTAATAAGATGTAATGCCAACACCGGATTAATAACCCCCCCCCAGAAGGTCAGGGTATACCTTGCAAGGTCTTTCTTTGCTTTCCACGTAAATAAACGCCCCCTTGGAAGGGGTTGATTAATAAGGGGAATCCTCTGATTATTATTGATGGGGCACATGGGCTCATGGGGGCCCTTTGGGAGCTATCGAAATTGCTGATTTGTGTAAAGAATTTGATTAGAAATCGATCATTTGGGGAATAGTTGTTTTTCAAATTTTCAATGATCAGCAGTGATGATTTCTGGTGTTCATGAGGTTTCAACTTAAGTATAGAATAAGGAAACCAATTGAAAATAAAGAGAGTTGGACAATAAAACAAAATGGGATTTCAGCACTGGTGGTTGATTAATCATGTCCGGCCAAAACGGTTTATTAATCCTGGGGGACCATCTGTTTTTAAATTGCAAAAAAAAATGGGAGGAGGTTGATTAATAACGGGGTGTTATGATTAATAACGGGGTGTTAACTAATCCTGACTTGACATTAATACGTAAGAACGCATCCCCAACTTACCCAAGAATAAAGCCTGCTGAGAATACTAAATCATATTTCGTAACTGGGTTTTCGCTTTACCACAACTCTAAATACTGTATCTGGTTGCAAGATGTTCCAAGCATGTTTCACCTTCCAGACGACATTCACAGCGTTGACACGCACTACCAGCAATACCAACTTCTATTCGGGAATGGGCCAACCTATCTCATGGTTATGACCTTGCAGCAACGTGGTTCTGGGGTACTGATGGGTACTGCACTTTCTGGACCACCAGCAGCAACACAGATCCAGACACTTTCCCAGTGGGTCATACCCAGTGAAATACAGCTGGGAGTTGATCCGAGCCCCAGGCCATGCAGCCATCCAGGCCATCCAGTCCAAGGGCCCAGTGGGGACACACTGTTGCAATTCCCCCCCATTTTTCCTAGTATAGTTGTTGGGAGATTCAACTTCCATCAGTCACACAAAAAATGGGGATGCAGAGATGCACTAAAATATTTGTTGTATATGAGTGATTATTGAACGATATGATGATATATAGTAGCTCGTGATCATGCAGATCACGTCCATCCATGGTCCTGAAAATTCTCTTTGGAGCAGCACTGCTCCTCCCACCACAGACCCCGAAAAAGGAGTGAACCATATGTGAAAAACGGGGATTTCATCCGCAAAAGCACCAATGTCATACCCTCTGGTAATTTAACATAGCTATGGAAAATCACCATTTTTAATGGGAAAATCCACTATATATGGTCATTTTCAATAGCTATGTTAAATTACCAGAGGGTAATTCAGCAGCCCTGATTCATCACTGGATAATCTTCTTCGCCAGGTTACCACTCCATGAGTCCTTTGGAGATCTTCCTTAGCTGATTCCTGCACTGTTGGCGCTTCGAGCGCCCCTGCAGCCCAGCTTTCTCGGCTTGAAGCTCGTGCACTCGTTGCTTGAGGTCCCCAATCTGACGAAGAGCGCTGGACAAGTTGCTCTTCCTAGGCAGTGACAGGCTGAAGCGCAACTGCCATGAATGGATTGGAAAAAGATTGCTCATGAATCGATTTTAAAGAAACTGTTATTTGTTTAAACACCATTTCTTCCAGACTGTTTTTGATGCCCAGTTTCCCCTGAAAAGAAACTGCATCTCTGAAAACCAACTGATTTGTTTATTGCCTGTGGATCCTGCCACACTGAGATTTTAAGCGTGCCGCATCATGGTAAACCACACTAAACTCAAGAAATCTGGATATTGACAACAATAAATCTGGAGTTTAACCAATGTCTTCATGTTTGAGAATGTTTAGATGCCAAAGGTTTCCGATGGACTGGAATATCATTCTTTTTCACCGAACAACAAAGATGATGGACCATGATGGACCTGGGTATCAAGAAGTTGAATCTGCCCAAACAAGTTTCAACTCGTCCTCGCCACTCAACAATGAGGGTGCCTAAGTGCAGGCGACAAGTGTGGAGATTGCTACATGTTGTTTCTTCTCGTGTTTTTTCCAAAACGGATTATAAGAAATCCATACATTTTCCTTAGGAGGTATTCTGATATTATATATCAACATCCAAACATTCTCCCCTAGTAGCTACTTTGAAGAAGTGGTCTTCTCTTTGTTCTCGAGATAGATTTCTACCATCCCTTAATCAAACATGGCAATGGCAAATCATCCATTTAGTTCCAGGATTTTCGCAGCTAGAAATGTCCATTTAGTTCGGGGATTTCCCAGCTAGCCATGTTTGATTGCCGGAGGGTACTAGTAGTACCAGTTGCCATCTTTCAATGTGTTTCTGAGCGCTAGACAACGGTGAGGTGGGCGCTACGCTTTGGCGCCTGGGGTCAAGCAAGTTGTTGGGTAAAGCAGTGAGACACACTTGTCATAATGTCATCCACTCTCTCGTTGGATCCGTCAAAATGAGACATTATGCAGGAAACCATGGTTTCCCCAGCAAAGGGGGTCCTCAGTTCTGAGATTCTCCATCTTTCCAATCCAACTTCGGTTTGAAATTAAAAAAATGATCCTCGCAAATTCCAAGTCTCTCACTCTCTGGTAGTCAAACTGGGTGGTCATGGAAGTTGGCCACACACGTGGATGATTCACTCATGAAAAACATGGAAACATAGGGATTTACCACGCCAGCCAGGTCCGGGCAATGGAAAATGGGTCATATTTCATTGTTCATGATTTTCCGCAAACAAAAGAAAACATGTGTTTTATATATCCCTGAAAGTCAAACGACGTGTTTTCTACCGTAGAATTCTGATAATCCACACATTATCGTAAAACGGTTTGTACCTCTACTGTAAACCCTAAAACCTAAAAGTTTTCTACCGTTTTAGGGTTTTATAATGTTTTATATAGAATTCTAACGATATGTTTTACGTAGATATTACGCTGACTCGGGTGCAGAAGGGCTATCTCCCTATCTCCAACCTCGGGCACGGATGGCACCGCCTGCCTGGCATCTCGTGGTGATTTCCGGGAGAAAACATCTACAACTTGGCAAAGCAAGGATTACCCTCTGGTAAACTAACATAACTATGGAAAATCACCATGTTTAATGGGAAAATCCACTATAATGGCCATGTTCAATAGCTATGTTAAATTACCAGAGGGTATTTTATATGATGTTATTCGAAACATATTCGAAACACTCAGGTTTTCAGCAACTAAAGTCGTGATTTGATAAGTGAGACTTGTGAAGACTGGATTGGAAAGCAACATGTCACAACAACTCTACTTCAACCGTCATACTTTCGACATGTTTTGACCATCAAACATGGCCAGAAACCAATAGAACATGATAGAACACCAGTTGAGTTGAGTCGTTTACCTTTACGTCGTACTGTCAGTTTTTCTTGAAGCGACCATAGGCTATCCCAGACTCAGGAAACCTGCAGTTGCCAACTGGATTCCTCCCCGTTGCCATTTAAACAGTTGTGACCAATTTTAACAGGTTTAACGTAATTACAATGTTTACTAATCCCACTACTTCCAAGAACAAAGTTAAACGTTGTCGTCCAAGTAAAACCATGACTTTACTTAAAGACACTCATTGACTGCTGATATATAAATATATATATAGTCAAAAAAGGTGACCTTTCCTCTGAGCCTAATCGAATCCGTAAATCAATCCTCAAAATTCTGAATAAAAATATGTGGTTTCCATGCTCAAGTTTTTGATTGGTTTTCACGGGTTTTTCACTGTCTTTTCACGGGTTTTTCACGGTCGTTTCACGCACTTTTCACGCTCTGGGTTTGGAGTGGGATTTGTTTGAAACTCTGGACTCCAGTATATATTTATACTAGTACTCATTGGGTCTGATAATGCCCAGTAAACACATGTCGCTTCCAAAGACAAAGTTGAACTTTGTCGTTGTGAAAGCCCCAGTTAAACTTTGTCGAAGACTGAGTGGGAATTATTGTACAGTACATCCCCTGTGACTCAAAAATATGATCTAATATTTGATAACATTTCTAGAAAAGGCACTTTTCGACAAACCCTGGGGCTATTCCGACAAATCCTAAGGTACTTTCAACAGACCTTGGGGTTCTTCATCAATCAGCCACTCACATTGTTCACCACTTCATTGCGTGACTTCCAATATAGCCCGTCACGGCGCGTCACGATGCGTCACGCTATTTTCATTTATTTTCCGACAATGCCTCCAATTTAAGTGGAGTTTTTGGTCTGCGTCACGGTTCGTCACGGTTTGTCACGGTTTGTCACGCTCCGTCACGGTTTGTCCCGACTCAAACACCCCACTAATCTACGGATTTCGCAACTATATTTTTTTCGACAGCAGTTGTTCCAAAAAAAAACGTTCCATCAAAGGCACTTTTTCCGACAAACATGGCCCAAGTTTCCGACAAACATGGTCCATTCCGACAATGTATTCAAAATTTGGGAACATTGGACATGTATCCAAATTTTGGATACATTACCATGTTTGGCCTATTTCAAGACAGGGATTATAGGCATAGTCTAAGCGAAGTGGAAGTTAGAACCTTTACAATTAAAACATACCAAACCAATCATCGATATCTAAATACCTTTGTACCCTCTGGTAAACAAACCCAACTATATTGAAAATCAACATTTTAAAATGTTAAATCATCTACTTCTACGGGCCATGGCTTCCATAGCTATGTTACTTGGTTTACTAGAGGGTGACATCCCTTGCACTGCCTCGGTGAGGTGGCCATCGCTGCATCTATTTGCGCCTGCTGATTCAGCAAGATGGTGAGTTTTTGGGGGAGGAAATCTACAGAAACATCTACAATAACAGTTGGGGATAATGCGGGATAGTAATATGTTTGGAACTATGGGATGAAAGAATCAACCAATCAAATCTTTTCGATGTTTGGGTCTGAAAATTTGGGATGGGCCCCAAGCATTGTCATTTTGATAGAGGGGAGGTATGATCATCTCTAAGGATTTTGGAAGTACCCGGGCCCTCCCTATTTTCAGACAAACCCACACAGGATTACCATGGATTACCAAACCAGGACCTCAGGAGTTAACCGGTCAGCAAATTACGGACACCCTCCATCTTTCTTTGCTTGGCTGGTTGCGGTTAATACATCCATGTGTCACATGTATAGTAAAAAGTATATGAAAGTTCCACCAAACTATCCACAAAAGATGCTGACCCCAAACAATTGTCGAATTGATTTCGAGGTGTAATACTAAACCCATGAAACAAAAGACAACGGGCAATGATGCTAGTGGACTGGCACCAATGGACCCATATCATGGTTTCCGCCACAGAGTTGGATGGTTCAATGTCGGCACCAAAAAAAAGTCCACTTTCACTGAGGGAAAAACAAGACAGAATCTGTAGAACATGTAGGAGAACCCCAATGTTTGTTGCTAAAATCCTGATCGAATGCCCCGTGCTGAACGCAGCATAACGCACCTGCAAACGGTCAGCGGCGTCACCTGGCGATATACCAGGGGGGGAATGGTTTTTCTTCCCGAAAAAATGGTCAGATTTGGTTAAAAGTGAGATACAATATTTGGATATATTTGGTTGATGAAATCTGAAAGTGTGTTCTTTTGCAAACCAATGTTGTCAACCAGGTTTCCAATCACTTCTGTTAGTGCATCTGGGTTTTGAATGATCTTAAAATTGTTGAACCAATTCTGTCAACAAATGTGGATATTGAATCAACAATTCTGTTTTCTCGTTTCGGAAGGAAAACACTCTTCATGTCGGGGTATGCATTGTTCATCATTGTTCCATATCTCAAACGCTTAAAACTCACCAAAATGTGTCAAAATATGACTGACAGACCTCTGTTCCTGCCAACCCCCAACCACCATCCCGCCGAGACAATCCGCCACATCATCTTCTTGCAGCAGCTGTTGTTTCAGTCCCGCAGAGTGGTCGCTTACCTGCGGTGAATGGAAAAAAAGGAGGCGGAAAAACCCTAGGCCCTTATAGGGCCTCTGCACATGCCAAATAGCATCACACTGAGCCCAAAAAATGTCTGTTTCATAGTGGTTTGTTTGAAGCCTTTTGTACAAATACTCTGGTTTTGAATCCGATTTCCATCTCCGCTTTGAATCGAAAATAGTCCTACATGAAATCCCCATCAAAACTACGGAATTGTTATGTGTGGCTAGGTTTTCTGTTGGCCATCGAAAAAAAAAAAACATGGCACTGCCATCATTTTCCCGGGATCATTTGAACCCAGAGTTACATCTGGAGCCTCCTTTCGCGCAACTGCCAAGGTTGCTTGTAACTGCGCCGTCAGCTGGACATGTTTCAAATGCAGATCCTCAGCATCTCACCAGTGACCAGTGACCAGTGCTGGTGACAGGTATGTTGGGTGCTGGTGATAGTAGAAGCTGAAAATCCTTCAAGTTTGGAAAATATATCAGTGACTCATGTTGAATAACCTCAAACTGGGTCTGTCATACTGATATATTGGTCTTAACGGAGGGTGCAAGTACGTAACATGTTCTCCCCCGCATCCCTTTTATAGGGAGATTTTGTTTGTCGATCCCCGTATGGCTATGGGAAGTCGAGACCCTGGTGCCCTGCTGTTCAGTTTCATTCATCCTCCCAAATATAGTGTACCCGCCAGTAACCTAACATAGCTATGGGCTATGCATAGCGGCTATGCATGATGCCCCATTTATAGATGATTTACCCTCTGGTAATTTAACATAGTTATTGAACATGGCCATTTATAGTGAGTTTTCCCATTAAAAATGGTGATTTTCCATAGTTATGTTAGTTTACCAGAGGGTACCTATATATATATTTCTATCGCTATGTTTAATTACAAGACAGTACTAGCTTCTGATCGATCCCCAATGTGGGATGTTTACCTCCCTACCTTTGTCTGAACGACATACTTATGAAATGTTATAAACCGGAAAAGTATGATAAGTTGGGTAGAATATAGATTCCATTGTCATGGTAAATCCTACACAGCATGCAAACAAAATATCGTACCTTTTTAGTTATCTAGTAAATATCATCATTTTCAGTTAAATTGCAGCAAACTATTGAATAGTACATCCAGTAGGTTGACCCAGTCAAAAATAATTGGATTACAACCTACCATTCACTGGATTGGTTTAAAGGAACGTCCTAACCAAAACCATGCTGTTTACCCACACATACTGTGGATGGTTGCGAAATCCTGCACCAGTTGATACGCGGTAAAAAAAAAAAAAAAGTTTTGGGGTTTCAACATGCTTCAAACACATGTCAGCCTTTCGGAGAACCCCACCTCTCTTTCGCGCTCCGACATCCGCAGCTTGTCACGCAGCAATTTCAGCTCCACCTGAGGCGTAGCGACGCCGCCGAGATAAAGGGATGCGATGCCAATGCCATGCGATACCAATGGATTTCATATGGATTTCATAAAACCCAAAGATACAAAATTTTAATACTTGAGGGGTTGATACCTCAACATAGAATATGTATGGATAGATGTCATAATATTTCCCTCTAAATCCACTGCATAATCATATCCCCTGTTGAAATTACCATTTTGGGGGGCATACCCAATTCACAGACACACCCGTAGCCAAAAATCAAAGGAGACATTGTTGGATATTTGTATCCGTTTTTAGCGTGGGTTGTTGAAAAACACATATATATATATACATAGTACACACATGTATATATATATAGGTATTTTGTATACACGTACGTGTAAGTAAATATGTCTATGTACATTTACTCTGTGGATCCAGCCGTGCGTTCTGAGAAACTGTTTGGTGGTCATGAACGGTGGATGAAGGACCTTTGGGAGGTGTTTGGAGTCAACGCGACCAAGCAACTAACAACAAAATGGGGTACGTTAACCCTACCCAAACCATAATCCAATGCCAATATGAGAAACCAAATATAGTTGCAAAGAAACGAGTGCTAAATTAGGTGTATGGATATTGCTCACATTTGCTGACATGTACGATGGGTTAAATAATGTCAATCAGTCGCATTTGCTGACATTATTCACGATACATGGTTTAACTACATGACTAGAATTGGTGAGCGCTAAACTACCAAATCCGTACATATATATATATATAAACCAAAATCATTTTACCATCTGTCTGTCTGTCAGTCGGTCGGTCTGTATGCATGCATGCAAGCATGCATGTATGTAATTATTATGTATGTTAGTGTTGGGGTATGTTGGGGTTACCACATTTGTTGACATCCCCAAGCACTAACTTTCCTACCCATTGATCTTTAGTGCGATTTGTCGATTCGTGGGCTCCTTGGCTCCCCACTAGGGATATCCACCATCCTGGGACCAGCTTAAAAAGATATTTTACTGCGAGTGATCTCCACCCTGACATATTTTAGTCTGACATATATCTGGCATATAGTCTGACATTCTATCTGGCAGTCTTTTTGCATTCTACCTGACACTCTACCTGACATATGTTCTGACATTTTATCTGACATTCTTTTTTGGCATATATTCTCACATTCTGTCTGGCATTCCATCTGACATATATTCTGACATTCTTTCCTGCATCTTCTGTCTGTCTATCTGCCATTCTGTTCTGACATGAGCTCGCGATGGGGTTCGGGCCCAGGCGTGCCCAGCGGCCTCCAGAGCTCGCGATGTGGTGTTCGTGTCCAGGCGTGGTCCGCTGCGGCTGCATCCGGAGCTGACCATAAGGTTCGGGCCCAGGCGTGACCCACTGCATCCGGAGCTGGCAGAGGAGATAAAGACAACAAAGAGGCGGAGGAGGAGATGAAGGAGGAGGAGAAGAACAAGGAGGAGGAGATATACATAGATGTAAAGATGTAATTTTGTGATAATTTGTGCGTGTGTATATATATATATATATATACATAGGATTCTGATTAGTAAAGGGGGGACCCCCCCTAAACAATTTCAGGCTACACTTTAGAGTTATTTTTTGAAGGAACCAGGGACCGAATAATATTGGATCGATTGATTAATTGATTTCAATTAATTTCAATTGATTTTCAATTTGCTTTCGGTTGATTTCGATTTATTCTCAATTGATTTCAATTTACTTTCAATTGATTTCAATTTACTTTCAACTGATTTCAACTTATGTTCAATTTACGTTCAATTGATTATCAATTGATTTCAACTTACTAATTGATTTTCAATTGAGTTCAATTTACGTTCAATTGGATATCAATTGATTTCAACTTACTTTCAATTGATTTTCAATTGATACCAATTTACGTTCAATTGATTTTCAAATGATTTCAACTTACTTCAAATTGACATCCCATAGCAATCCCATAGAAATATCATAGAAAGATCATGGAAACCCCATAGGAATCCCACAACAGAAATCCCATAGAAAGATCATAGAAACATCATGGAACTCCCACTGAAATCCAATAGAAATCCCATAGAAATATCATAGAACCAACGTAGACATTTCAAAGAAACCTCATGGAAATCCAATAGATTTCCCAAAGAATTCCTATAGAAATATCATAGAAATGCCATAGACATTTCCAATATCATAGGAATCCAATAGAAATATCATGGAACCCCCAAAAGAAATCCCAAAGGAATATCATAGAAACCCCATAGGAATCCACAGGAATCCGAAGGAAATCCCATAGACATCCTTTTGAATAACCATTGGAATCCCACAGAAATACTGTACCATAGACACCCCTTTCGAAACACCATAGAATATCATAGAAACACCATGGAAATTCCGTAGAATTGCCATAGAAACTTTATAGAAATATCATAGAAACACCATAGAAATCAAGGAGATGATGCCAAGAGAATTGAACTAAGAGAGAGGCAAAAGCTATAGCAAAGGAAAGGAGAAAAGGATTTTGGACTAAAATCACATCAAAAAAAAGCTTGACACAATAGAGGACCCCCACAACAAACATACAATTGAAGATCAATGCTGCTCAAGGGCTACCCCCTTGAAAAAATGTGTGAGTGCTGTTTTTATGGGGTTTTAATATATAAGATATCCTATATTTTGGGAAATTAGACATTTTGAGAATTCCAAAAGAATGGAACTAAGAAAGTAAAAAAGAAAGGTTTAGCAAAGGAAAGGAAAAGTAAAGGAGAAAAGGAATTTGGACAAAAACCACTTCAAAAAAAGCTTGACACAATAGAGGACCCCCACAAAAAACATACAATTGAAGATCAATGCTGCTCAAGGGGTACCCCCTTGAAAAATTGTGTGAGTCTATTTTTAAATGGGGTTTTAATAAGATATCCTATATTTTGGGAAATTAGACATTTTGAGAATTCCAAAAGAATGGAACTAAGGAAGCAAAAAAGAAAGGTTTAGCAAAGGAAAGGAAAAGGAATTTGGACAAAAACCACTTCAAAAAAAGCTTGACACAATAGAGGACCACCACAAAAAACATACAATTGAAGATCAATGCTGCTCAAGGGGTACCCCCTTGAAAGATTGTGTGAGTCTATTTTTAAATGGGGTTTTAATAAGATATCCTATAGTTTGGGAAATTAGACATTTTGAGAATTCCAAAAGAATGGAACTAAGAAAGCAAAAAAGAAAGGTTTAGGCAAGGAAAGGAAAAGGAAAGGAGAACAGGATTTTGGAACATTTTCACTTTAAAAAACCTTGACACAATAGAGGACCACCACAACAAACAAAATATTGAAGATCAACCTTGCTGATGGGGTACCCCCTTGAAAAATGGTTTGGGTGCCGCTTTTTGGTTTTAATCATGCATCCTATAATTATTTTTGTGTATGTTCAAAAACATGTTACAAGTATTCATTAATTGATTAATTAATCAATCAATTAATTAATTAACTATTTTTAATAAAATGAAAAAAAACACCAAAAGTGAAAAAATGAAAATAAAGTTGAACAACAAAAGGCCTCAGAGAAGAAGTTTCCACAATACCGTACCACCCCAACAAGTACACTGATTCCGAACTATATTGGGAAAACTTGACACAATACAGTAATCGGGGTACAACAGTATGTAAATATATACATATGTATGTAAATGTATAAATATATATATATATTTATACATATAGAAATATGTATTAATATATATATATATAAATATAAATATATATAATTATACATATATATATATATATATATATGTATATAATTATATATATATAATTATATATATATGAATATAACACAATCACATACCATCTGCCCAGATCGGCTCCGGCTCCGCCTGCAGGCTGCAGCTTTGCGCCTGCTGCGCGCTCAGCTGACGCAGCTGGGAGGTGACCAGGCCCTGCTGCTGCGCCTGAGAACCTCAGGTGAAACCAGCGAAACGTATGGAGAAATACAGCATGGCTCAGCCCTCAGCAGAAAAGGCTACCTTTTATTAATATGGCTATGGATCAATACCTATAGATACAGTTTATTAGGGGATGAACATCCATTTGCCACCTATTTTGATGTTCACCAGGGCTACATGGTTTTGACCCATTCTCATATATATTGGCCTATGAAAAGTGAGATTAGTAAGGTGATTGGTGTGATGATCATCGAATGATGATACTGTATGATACTATTCGTCGTTTCGTCATTCCACTTATACTTCAGCGGAATTTTTACAAACTAATGTAAGTATATGCTATCAGTCCATCACTGCAAAAGTGAGTTTTGACGGGAGTATCATCACAATCATTATGGGGATTAACAACCCTCCACCAATCCACTGTGCTGGAAAATGCATCGTGAATTACTTGACTTCGAGTGATCCCCACCGTGGCATTCTATCTGATATTCTTTCTGGCACTCCATCTGACATTCTTTCTGTTATTCTATCTGACATCTATTCTCACATACTTTCTGGCATTCTATTCTTTCTTGCATTCTATCTGGCATTTATTCTGACATTCTGTCTGGCTTCTTTCCGCCACTCGGATCCAGGCGTGCCCCAGCATCCGGGGCTGGCGATATGGTGTCTCCACAGTGCAGAAAGAAAAGGGGAGTGATGGCAGGAGGAGAAGCAATCAGGCAGGTGGAGCTGCGCCTTTGTTACAATCTGGCAGGTGGAGAAAAACCAATTTACAGATCATTGTCCTGCAAACGACAGGGATTTCCCATATGAGATCATGTCGAGTTTGTCCAAAATGAGGTGACAATCCAGCTTGAGTAATCAAACAGCCCATTACTTGGGAAGTGAGCAGGCTAGAACCTGATTCTGATCGAGACCCTTTCTCTTCCAAAAATTGAGTACGGCGTGACGGCGTCAAGAACAAGTATGAAGATGTTTTTTGCATGAGATGGAATCGGGGAATTCAAAGCGTTGACAAACACAAGACATGAAGTCGATTGAAAAGGATATAATCTTCCTACAGACTGATTGAGACCAAATGCATGGTCACCAACATCAGTGGTCCTCTGGTTTAAAACTTTGACACCATAATAATGAATATCCCTTCGGCTAGTCGAACAGGTGCGTGTGGTGCGTGTGGGTTCAGTCGTGCGCAGGCAAGAAAATTATGTTTTGCTGGGAGGGATCTGATCTATGGTTTCGTCCCATCCTCCAAATATATTTTCGTCAAGTTGCATCATCATTTCTTTGTAGTTTTGAAAATTGAAACAAAATCAAAACACTAGTTTTCCAACGAAAATCAAAATCTGCGGTTCCAATGGGTCAAAGGAGCGGACTTGAATCACAAGCTGTGGGAACATTGCATGAAGATTGCTGAGGTCACCCTAAGAAGCATGGGAGCGTCTGAAGTTTTTGCAGCAAAGTTGGGTGGTTTGGCACTGTGGTATTGTAGATGGGGCATGATTACTGGAAGGTAATGACACCAACCGACCAAAACGGAAGTGGATTGGAGGTCAAAACCTTGGTCCAATCCTCCAATCAGTCTGTGGTGAAATGGCTCCCCAAATCCAATCCAGTCCTGTTTGAATGAGGAAACCTTGGTCCAAAATTCCCCATGAAATTCCGACCTTTGGTGGCAAAGACTTGGTAAAGATCCCACAGTTTCCTGCAAGATATTCCCATGGAATCGGCGCCGACGCCGAGGGAACTCTGGCTTTGCTGAAGCTCCGCGAAGAATTCATGCGAACCTCAGGTTTATTGGGAGTAGCCGAGTAGCCCAATTTCAGACAAACATGCCAGCTGGGTTAAATTGTCTGAAATGATCAGCTAATTCCAGTGGATATGTCTGCAATGCAGATGATCTCTGGTTTGGTAAGTCGCATTTTATGGTCGAAATCCCTCATTTCAGAAAGGATATGATTTTGGGTTCCAGATTGTTGGGTAGTCTACAGTTTTGGTATGTACCTTGAGGCGCCTAAACTGGATATGTTCTTTTGAGGTTGCGGTCAGATGCAATGATGCATTTTGAAGTTACCCTCTGCCAATTCGTTGCAGTTTGCTAAGAACAAAGTCAGCATGTTTAAGAGGCAAAGCGTCTTTTAATATTCTATGGACAGTTTTCGATAGCTAGGATACAAATTACCAGAGAGTAACCCATCAAACCCCAATAAATATCCCATGACACCACCATTTGTATGGCCAAAATTGCTGAAAAATCACCCATTTCCATCATTTTCCATCCACCCAAAAAGATGAGGTTCATGGATTTTCCCAGATATAATCCTTCATTTCTAATGGACTTTTCCATATTTTCCTACCCTCCCTTGGGGTCCCTTGGGACCTTCAAGACTCACAGCATTGGGCCCTCGAACGCTCCGCCAGCTCTTGTGTCTCCCGTCTTAGAGTCTCCACCTTTCGTAGTTTTTACCATTTTGGGGTTGTATTTGGAAGGAGGTATGAATATATCATATAGAGATAAAATTTGGAATATACGCGCGTTTTACATTAATATACATTGATATACATTTGATATATCTACGTATGAAAAACATTGAAAACCTATAGTTTTAAACCTGATCCATGATACAAACATAGATGGCAATAGACACAATTATATCATATATCTATATGACGCAGCGATATTGGGATGGTGATTGATGTTTCCATCATTCAACTCGCTATTGTTGGTCATGTCTTCGACATTCGACAGGATGATTCCCCGGAAATAAATCACCATCATTGTGACGTCACAACGTCGCGACGTGAGGTCTTGAAATATGTTATTCAAATATAATGAAGACGATTGAAAAATAGCAGTACTGCAAATAGTCTATAAAGAACAGTACTAGGTATTAAACTAGAAATATATTCGACTAACTATGTGCTAAAGTGCCCTATTATATACATATCCTTACTGACATATGGCTTGTGGTTGGGAGGCCTGTCTGGGCAAACATATGCCCATTGTCCAGGGAAGACACACCAATGCGGCAATAGATCTACTCACATCTATTTACACAGTACAAGTACAGCCATGGACGGATCAAAACCTTGGTAGCCTGCTGAAACAACACACTAGCTGGTAAATGGATGTCCATCACCCCAAAAAAGGTATTAAACTGTACCTTCAAATTTAAAGATGACTGACCGAATAAACATGGTGAGTTTCACTCGTTCGCTATCTTAAATGTCCAAAAGGTTATAGGTTTTGATCCATCCCCAAGTCACTATGGTTGACCCCAAAAAGACATGGTGTTCACCATGGTTATTATAGATCAACTTGATTGAAACACAAACAAAAATAAACCATTGGTAACTATCATTGATCAAATTGTTCACTATGGCTACGACTACTCAAATGATCTACACTGACCAACCTTTGCGCGACGCCATCCCATCTCTAAATACACATACCACAGTGGCTTGCAAGGTAGCTACAAGATTGGCCCCCCCCAAAAAAAAGAAAAGTTGGATTCTAGCCCCCACGAACTATAGTTGTAATTGCTATTAAACCCTAGTGAAACGGGAGTTAAAAACCACTTAGCCATCAGAAATCAGCTATACATCCCATGAAATCACCATTGTTTTGCTGGTTAAAGCATCATTTTCCCATGGTTTCTAGCACCCCGTCCGCGCCTTCTTGGTGATATTTTGCTCCGCCTGAGGTTTAGACCAGCCATGCTGTTTCAGCTGTAAAATAATACAAAATATATGCAATATATGCAAATTAAGGAATAATTGAATAATACCATCTGGTTATTCAACATAGCCATGGAACATCACCATTTTTAGTAGGTAAACCATCTATAAATGGTCCATTTTCCATGGCTATGTTAAATAACCAGAGGGTAGATGATTCAAAAGATTCACCTAGGAAATCCTATACAACTCTTGGAACTAAGGGAAGCAGATTTTGAAAAAGAAGCAAAGATCTATTTGGATCATGACGCAACATTGAAATCTGCCAAACAACCGTCAACCCAGGTCGTCAAGATGGCTGTGCATGTTTTTGCAAGTCTCAACATCTCCAGTTTCGCATAGGCATGACCATACACCAGATCAAACTACTTCAGGGGCATCCCCCCAGAAGATAATCAAAAAAACTGGAGAAAATCCAGCCATGTTCGAATTACTTTCAAAGATTTTGGATGAGTTCGGAGATCGCCATCCTTTCAATACGTAACCCCTGGGGCCGCCTGTAGAAGATCAGCTTTCGATGCCACAGCTGGTCCTGCGCGACTAGAGACAGCCGGCTTACCAATGAAGACATAGATTTATACACAATCAATATGTATGTGTATATATATATGTGTGTGTGTGGCTACTTGACATGACAGCGCAAAAAACACACAAAAACGTTTAACCATGTATATATACATATAATCGTTATATATATATATTATAATATCCATGTAAACAGATAGAAGGATAGAAAAATAGACAATGAAAAAATAGATAGAGATAGAACGATAGATAGATAGATAGAAAGGATAGATAGATGCATTGATGCATATAGACATACGCCATGCACACATGTACATGTACATGTACAGCATGTATATAGAAATATCAACATAGTATTATACATATGTGCATGTTGTTAAAAGGTGATGCTAAAACGGGATCAACCAATACTGCTCGGGACATAATGCGGAACCCATACTTTATACTTAGACGACCAGGTATGCTGACTATCAAAGCATCCCAGTTTTTTTTTGCGCATATTATATAGTGACACAATTTACCATCTTATTTTGGAACTGGATTTTTCTACAAATCTATCTTCTCTTCACAAAAAGTATATAAGTAATATAACATGTGTCATTCTGGCGGGGTGCTATATGGAGGTTTCCTGAAATGGGGGTACCCCTAAATCATCCATGTTCATGGGATTATCCACTATAAACCATCCATTGTGTTGTCCATACATTTGGCTACTCTTCTGGGGGCCACGGCCCCTGCGGCACCTGACATCCACCGCTCCTGACGATGCAAGCTTCTTCAAGGCGTCGCGACGTTCCCTGGCTGCGAGGGTTGGAAAAAAACTGCTTCCGGGAGCACGGTCTGAGAAGCCCCAAGACATATTATAATATATATATATATATATTTGATATATGACGGTTGCTCTAAATTCTTTATCTGCGGACGGCCGTTCTTCGCGAATAAAAACAGTACTTTCGCGAATCTTTCGCGAACCCCACGTTTATCTTTCGCGGGCTTGCAGCTATACAATTGTGCTGTTTAGACGCACTCAAGCAGCATGGCGATCCGGGAGACAGCCAATATGTAAGGCCATGTTGGGGAAATTCACCAGGAGAGTTTCATTGTTGACCACGTTCCCTTGACTTGGCGGTGCAAGGGTGCTGTGAGGGCTACTGGCTTCCATGGACACCGTCTATTTTGCCAAGACTTTCGCAAAAAATCCTTTGCAAATCAACCAAAAAATCCACACCCTGAATCGTGGTTGGGGGTTCAGCTCCACTTGATTACTCTATAGTGCTTGGGTCTATTCTCTGCCTGCCAATAACAAGTCAGAAGGTTCTCACTTCACCTAGGAAAATAAAAGATTAAACCGCTTAAGCCACCTCATCAAGATAAACTTTCGCCATTTCTTTCGCCAAATAGAATTTACTTTCGCAAATTCAGAAAAAAAACTGTCGCGTGGTCTTATGTCGTAACACTGGCGGCCTTTGTAGTTAACAATCCCTACATGGACCTTTAGACCGACTCCCATATACTTTATATAAGCATTATATCATATCAAACATACAGTATACATACGCGCAAACCCCCCAGTTCGCCCACACAACTTCTTAGGGATTTTGAAGGAATATAAATTCCGACCCCCGTTAAACTTTACATTCTATTGGGAAGATCAACATGGGTATTAGGAATAAATTCCCACCCCCGTTAAACTTTACATTCAATTGGGAAGATCAACCTGGGTATTAGGAATATAAATTCCCACCCCCCTTCAACTTTACATTCAATTGGGAAGATCAACAAGGGTAATTATTAGGAATATAAAATCTCACCCCCGTTGAACTTTACATTCAATTGGGAAGATCAACAAGGGTATTAGGAATATAAATTCCCACCCCCGTTGAACTTTACATTCAATTGGGAAGACCAACAAGAGTATTAGGAATATAAATTCCCACCCCCGTTAAACTTTACATGATGATGATGATGATGATGATGATGATGATGATGATGATGAATGATGAATGATGAATGATGAATGATGAATGATGAATGATGAATGATGAATGATGAAAGATGAATGATGAATGATGAATGATGAATGATGAATGATGAATGATGAATGATGAATGATGATGATGATGATGATGATGATGATGATGATGATGTTGATGGTGATGGTGATGGTGATGTTGTTGTTGTAACATTCAACGCACAGGTAGCTAAGCTGTGCGTTGCAAGATGAAAGCCATGATCATGGACATGTGCATTTTGTCCCACAAAACACAGTGTTTTTTGATGTTCGGACATGTCGTCGGCGTCGGCGCGGGCAAACTGAGGGGTTTGCCCGTATACATACATTATATAAAGATCTACATTAAATCTACACTGAAACACAGATTGATTATATCTATGACATATTATACATCATATATACATCATATCATATAGCAAATGTACATTCTACATATATTATAACTATATTCTACCTACATTAAAACACAGTTACATCATGTATATGTACACATGAAATAAAATACATTGTATATACATTATAAAAACATCATATATATATAATATGCATTATATACTCACTAAATTACAATATAATTTGTGTCAATCGACATTTGCTTCGGATCATGTATAAGTTCTCGTTGTTCGATGGTCAAAATCATAATTTTTGATGGTAAAACCATGTAAAACCCATACCCGTTTTAGAACTATGATGTGTTTGGGACGATCGAATGGTAGTTCCAACTGGTTGCCCGTTGCTAGGGAGTATGAATAGCTCCCTTCACCGTTTCCTCTTGACCAATGGACAGATTAATCATCGCGTTTCAGAACTCACCAGCCGTCGCCCGCCTCGTCTGTTCTGTCCCATGCTTGGCAGCCTCCAGTTGGGTTTCAACCAGTTGGGCCTGGCGCTGTCTCCATGGTTCAAAACAGGGCCCCTCCGGTGTCATCAAACGTGCCTGGCTGGAAATCCCTTGCAAATTAAGAGGTGTGAATGGGAAACGCCTGGAAATCCCCTATAAATGAGGTTCCTAGCTGGGAAAATCACCGAACTAAATGGTGGACCCTTTACACTGGTTGGTTGAAAAAGGGATTCCCCCTTCATGGACTGTGATGTTCCCCAAATATTGGTTAGAATAATCCCCGAACAAGGGCTTTGAACTCTGCTCAATTTTCCCTCCTAGTACCAGAGTTGGGGGGGTAAATCCCCGAAGATCATATTTTGGGCAATTATACATATTAATATACGATATGTATATAATTTATATAATTATATATAGATATAATGTTCGGTTTTCTCCGCATGAGCACTGCAGTACCAGGGTCTTTTGACCCATCCCAGATACGTCCACGGATTGCCCTGCCGGGTCAGCTGCCAGGTCTGCAAATACCATCAATCCCCGGTAACATTCCCACCCGATTCCAGTTATATACAACATGTTTTATAAAAAGTAAACAACCAAACCTTGTTGATCACATGGTTGGGTAGAGCATCACATCATCATCATCATCATCATCATCATCATCCCGAAATTGAACCAATGTCACAATTCCAAACCATCGTTGGCTGTATCCAATGCCCATGTAGACAATTGAGTGGATGGCGGATGTTGGTTTTAAATCACATTATATCGTTTTAAAGCCACATACTGGGATTCCCGGGTTTTCATTTGGTCATTTATATCCAATATTTTATATAATTCCATACTATATCCCACTGCATCATCCTATTATATCCCCATCTTATATGGTTTCCCAAGTTCTCATTGAATGCGAGGGGTACCCCATTGCCTGGGAGAGGCCCCGCTTTTGTAGCTGCTGTTTCTCGCGTCGAAGCTCGCTGCGCCTGGGCGTTCGGAACAACAACCTGTTGGGGGTATCCGCGGGTGTTCGCAGATGTGAGCAGAATCGTCTATTTTCGGTCTTTTCGGGAATTATGTTGGGTCATTATAATTAGACCCGGAACCCGGGCATCACCAGTTTATGTTATTATTATTTTTTTTTACAAAATGATGCCCCTCCTTATAAAATGGCAATTCCAATATACCATCTGTATAAATTGGCGATTCTTTAAGGTTATAAAATGGCAATTCTGGTGTAGCGTTCAGCCAAACCGGAACCTTATATAATGGTATTTGTTAATATTTTTTCTTGCTTACATCGCATCCAAAAGGGAGAACGCTCTGGTTTATAAACATGTTTGACCCCCCCTAAAAAAGTGGGTACCTTACAAAAACACCTCAAAAAGCGGTACCCCGGTTCCGGTGGTTTATAAGGGATATTAAGAGGGGGATGTTGGGTCTATTTAAATTTAGAAAGGAATGATTTTGGGCCTATGTTGGGCTTATTTCAAAGTTATTTGGGGTCTGTACTGGATTTGTATTCACTGAGGGGTTTACGATGGTTTACGGTAAGGGTTAAGGTCAGTGCTTGATCGAGGTGCTCACTCTGGGGCGCGGCATTTTCCAGGTAAATTTCCGCATAATGAAACCTATGTCTCAATTTTACGATACGTAATCCTGAAGGCAGGAAGAGGGGAGAGAGAGAGAGAGAGAGCGAGAGAGAGGGAGAAGAGAGACAGAGAATATTTATATATAAGATGTATATAAGATGTATATAAGATGTAAATAAGATGGATATAAAATGTATATAAGATTAATATGATAATATATAACCAAAAAGTATATAAGATGTATATAAGATGTATATAAGATGTAAAAAAGCGCATCTAAGATGCATAAAATGTATATAAGATGTATATAAGATGTATATAAGATGTATATAAGATGTATATAAGATGTATATAAGATGTATATAAGATGTATATAAGATGTATATAAGATGTAAATAAGATGAATATAAAATGTATATAAGATTAATATGATAATATATAACCAAAAAGTATATAAGATGTATATAAGATGTAAAAAACGCATCTAAGATGCATAAAATGTATATAAGATGTATGTAAGATGTATGTAAGATGTATATATATAAGATGTAAATGTGGAGATGTGCAAATGAAAGATGTGTGTCTGTGTGTGTGTGTTTGTGCGCGCTAGCGTTTGTAAAGTGATGCATGGGGTGTGCCTTGAGCACCACTTGGCAAATAATAATCATAATTCCTGGCGAACCTTCGATGCCCTTAAACAAAATAAAAATAAAAACATCATGAATGCCTCCATGGAAAGCTCAAACACCAAATCCCATTAGATCACATTAATTAGATCCCAATAGCATCTGAAAGCAGGATTGAACATAAGATAACGTAAATCTATTTTGATATCACCAGAATCAAACACCCTGGCCCGGTGTATGCAGCTTCCCCTGGGACCAGCCGACTCCTGGTGCAAGTGACTGATCTCATTGACCAGCAGCTCGGCCTTACTATGAAAACCACTGGAAGATAAACATGGCCCAATGAATAAAAACCACCATTTCGCATTGGAAAACAAACTTCATTAAGTAATGAAGTAATCACTTCATTCCCAAGTGCTGAAAGGCACGTTTGAGTCTTGGATCAGCGTTCCAGGAAAGTGGGTCACCTTCAGAAAACCATCTGAACATCTCTGAAGCCTCAGACATATCCATACGGAAACATTGCCATTGATATTGATATTGAAAAATAACTGATATTCTGATATTGCTATTGATATTGATATGGCAGTGTGTCAAAACCTTGTACCCCTGGTGAACATCAAAATAGCTGGTAAATGGATGTTCATCCCACTAAAAATGGTATCTATAGGTATTGACCCATACCCATATTGCTATTGATATTGATATTGCCATTGATATTGACTTATTCTCCTGTAAACCTTGCCACTTCGATGTGGAGTAGGGCTTTCCTGCCTTGGCCCTCGGCCACTTGGACCTCAGAGGGGTTGAGGTTACAACTTGGAAAATCTCCAAGTTGGAAAAAATCGAATGGACAAAAAATATGGGAACATCATCTAAAAATGAAGGTTTTACTAGGGCAAAAAATCATCTGTAAATTAAGTTTCAGTGGCAAAATCATCCATAAATGGTAGATTCTCCATTGCCATGTTTGATGACAGGCGGGTAATCATAATGCAAATGATGATTCGACCATTAGTCTGAGGAAAACCCCAAATGTATGAACAATTTTAGTGAACAAACGAGAATGAAGTGAACCCGCCTGAAGTTTTGATCTTCAATCCACAGAACATGCAGATATGGAGTGGTTTACGTCAGAATCATTAAACATCAAACAACAGATTATGCTCCGGCAATCAAACATGTCAATTGAACATCCACCATGGATAGATGATGATAGATGAGTTTACCAAAAAAAGCTCCACGTTTGATTACTGGAGGGTATCTTATCTGTGGCCTGGAGGACAACCCCGGGTTTCCCCACAATGCGGAGCGTGCCTAGCACTTGGGGGTCAAAGATCGATGACCGATCTGACTTTCATACGTTCTTTGAACACATCTTACTCAGAGATAGAGTCAGATAGAGAATGATTCGATAGATTGCTGATCCACATGATTCAAAGAGAACTCAAAAATAAATCTAAGTAAATGAGAAATGTGCTAATCCTCCATCAGTTTGCCTTGAAGGAACTCAGCAGTTCGAAAAAAAATACATCTGCAAGTAGCCTCAGATGCGTTTCCCATGAACAATTTCCAGCTGAAGTCACAGTCTCCAGCCTCCACATCTGGGCCTCCCAAGCATGAAGTTTGGCGTCACACAACCGTGAAGACATTTCGGGGGAATCCTGGATGTTCTGGATTTTCAAGCAGCAAAACTGGGGATTCGCAAACGATGCTGTGAGGATGTTGATCTTGACAGGCGCATGCTGTTTTAACTCGGACCATCTGCGATCACCAAGAACACACAATCCACAGTGACCACCTATCCCCACATCTTTCTCAGCAACTAGTTCTCCTCTCCGCCCTTTTTTGACTGATGAGGCCAGCAGCAAAGGGTCTCTGCCCACAGTGCTGTTTGGGGCAGAAAACACGAAACCTCATCAGACTCATCAGCTAACATGGGGATGGCCAGGTGGTCACCGAAATCGTCTTGTTTTTCCTTTCCTAAGCGTGATCTGTTTTTGCTAATGCCCCTGGGGAAACGACTTTTTTTTACACCTTGACTTGGAGCCATGGCATTTCCACTTGAAAAACCTCAAAATGGAGACCAAATTTTAAACAGGAGACTCATCAAATACCCCCAATAGGGGACCCCAGGGACCCCAAAATGATTCAATACCAATCCATGGGTTTCTTTCGAGACAGATTTTTTTTGGGGAAGAAGAAACATGTCCAAAATAAATCATTTGAACCCGGGCCAGCTTCAGTGATCCTCTGCTGCTGGTAGGCAAACCAGGCTTGACCACGACACTGAAGGAACTCCTGCTTCTCTGACAAACTCACACGAAAACCGCTCTTCTCACCTGCAAACAGCTGAGACAGGTTGGGACCAAACAAGTCAGTTGACATGGCCAAAATGATCCAAAATGCATACAAGTCAGTTGGGATTATCATCCAGCTGCATCGTTGGACAATGAAACATGATCTGAAGTCACAGATGCTGGCCACGTTTCATCCAAAACACCCCCCAGGACCTGATCCAAGTTAACTCTTTTGGAGCATGAGAAAGTGTCGAGTGTCATACCTATACATATTCCATGCAATTGAAATAACATGAAGGCATTAATGAATAATAATAATATGTATATTAATATATAATAAATAAATAAATAAATAAATGAATAAATAAATAAATATATATATATACTTGAGAGGGGGGACACGAAAGGTAGGTGATTCAGAAGGGGAAGCAAAGCCTCTCTGTGTAAAAAGTGGCTGTGTGTATGCTGTGTGTAAACGCATGCTGTGTGCACAAGTTTCTGTGTGCAATTTGTGTCTGTGTGAAGACATCTGTGTGTAAAAGCGTCCGTATGTAAAAATTGTTGTGCGTAAAACCTTCTGTGCGTAAGACTTCTCTGCGGAGAATTTTCTGTGTGTAAAGGCCGTCTGTCTGTAAAAACTGTTGTGCATATTTTTTTTGTGCGCAAAGGCTTCTGTGCAAAAAAGTTTCTGCTGTGTAAAAACTGCTCTGGGTAAAGTGTCTGCGTGCAAAAAAGTAAACTTCTGTGTGCAGTCTGTGTGTACAAGTTTCTCTGTGTCAAATGGTTTTTTGTGTAGAAAAAACATGTGTGAAAATTGTTCTGTGCGAAGGCTTCTCTGTGGAAAAGGTTCTGTGTGTAAAAACGCCTATGTACCTTTATTCATGCTCGCAAACCTTCTTTGTATAAAAACCTCTGTGTGTAAAGGCGTCAGTGTACATTCTTCTTTGTGCACAAACCTCCCTGTGTAAGAATATCTGCGCGTAAAAGCTGCTATGTGTAAAGGCTTCTGTGCGTAACGTCGTCTGTTTGTAGAAACATGTAGAAACGTATCGGGACTGTCTTAAGTCAATTTTTGAAAGCCGGAACAAATTACTTGCTTCGAGTGATCCCCACCAAGTGACATTTTTTGTCGACATATTTTCTGACATGCTATCTGGCATTCGCATTTTATCTCAGAAAATTTCTGCAATTCTTTCTGGCATTCTATCTGGTATATTTTCGGGTAATCTTTGTGGTTGAGGTCCGGCGGGCAACACTCTGATCATAAAGTTCGATGTTTTTGTTGTTGTTGCTGGTGTTGTTGCTGTTGCTGTTGCTGTAGCTGTTGCTGTTGTCGCTTGTTGTTGTTGTTGCTGTTGTTGTTGCCGCTGTTACTCGTGCAACTTTTTTCTCAGTCCCGCAGTGGCCGAAAAGCGTCAACGAGGTGGTGTTTTCCGGTGTTTTCACGTTTGTTTGAAACTCTCGGAGCAAAAAACACCGTAAATACCTATGTTTTTTGTGCCTCGGAAGCCCAAAAAACACGGTATTTACGATGTTTTGTTTGCCTCTGGTGACAAAAATCACGGTATTTACAATGTTTTTGGCCCGGGCCAAGCGAAAACACTGGTATTTATTTACGCAGTTCTCAGCATGTTGCAAGAAGTACTTTGTCCATGCCAAAGGCACAAAAACACTGTAAAATACAGTGTTTTGGGTCTGCTCTTAGGGTTCGTGGAGGGGGCGGAGGCGGGGGGGTCGTGATTACAATAAGAAGATGGTGTGTATGAAATATACTTTGATTATACTTGACGTCCGTTTTCAAAAAAAAACTACATAAAAATCTTTAAGCATCATCCAACCCCACCATCGCCTATGCTCTGATCCATGCGTTGTGGCACGGCTCCCGCTGCTTGCTGTGCCAAGGGCATCAACTCCAACAACTCCTGTGGCACCTCCGGCAGCGCACGTCCGCAGCGGACGGCGCCACTGAATTCGCCACCGCTGGTGTTGACTTTGGCGTGGTAGCTGTGGGCGCAAATGGCCTGAGGTGAATGAAATCTATGGTGAAATCTATGGTGAAATCTATGGTGAAATCGGCCATGGATTGGTTGTCCTTGTGGTGATTTCATTGGGAGATTTGTGATGGGGGTTGTTTTTGTGACTTGTGTTTTTCGGTGATCCCATGCGGCAATGTGGGCAGTTGGTTGATTCAAAAAACAATTATATGATATTATATGTATTATATATTATTGTATTATATGAATTATATTATTGTATATTGTAGTAATAGAGAGGATATGAGAGGATGCCAAAAAAAAGAGGTGATAAAATGATGACGACCTTGTTTGGATCATTTGGACACCAGTTTGTCAAGGGGTTGTCACCTTCTGGGGTGTTCGGAACGTTGGGTGATGTAGTGACTGGATTTAAAAAATGCGTTCATGTTGGATTGTTCAGAACATATGTTGGAGAATTGTTCGAGTGATGTTGACTAGAATATAATGGTCGGATCCTATTTGAACGAATCAACTGGTGGGGCAGTGGGATTCAATTCCAAGTGGGATGGACTCCGTTGTAGAGCTTGAACTTGTCATTGACAATCATCATCTGAACTAAATATAGAAGCAGGAGTCAAGTGGATTCAGCAAACCTACCAGCACTCCAATATAAACGCTACTTGATCTACTTGAAACAACACAGTTCGGATCATTTAGAAGTGGGATACCGTTTCGAATCGCTATAGTTTCAGGTACCCGTACGGTTTTCAACGGAAGCATGAATGACTTGATTTTCAAGAACCGTATTGGTGGTGTGTTGTAATCCCTGCTACGACCTCAATTCTCTCAGCTCATCATCTAATTCATCTAATCCTCCCAAACATATCAAGATACAGATTTGGGTGGCGTCCTGGAATCGGGTTTCCCCAAAACGATTTTCCCCTTGTTTTTCCCCAGCTGAAAAAGACCAATTGTGGATAATGTTCAGGTCCCCAATCTTGTGAAACCAAGGTGTTTGATCTTAAAAACGATCAGTTCCTTCCATTTTCGTCCGGACACTAATTGTCATAAGGGGATGCGAGGAGTATCCGAATCTTAGGAAACGTACACCAATATAATTACTCATATCAATCTCGACCTTTTTGCAAACCCAAATCTAGGATTTAAATCTGTATTGTCTATTCATTTGAATTATTAAGTATTAAATATTTCTGTTAACTTCCGATATCTCAGATGTTCCATCATTTTTCCAGTTCCATGGATTCCATTCCATCAATTTCCACCTGGCCTTGGAGGCCCCTGGAGGCTTCACCGGCACCACGGGCACTTTGTTGCGCTTCAGATCCTCGTAAAAGCTGATGTCCTCCGACCACTCCACGTCCGGCACGGGCGTCAACTCCCAGCAGGAGCGGGTGAACATGTAGGAAAAACCCCAGCCAAAGAGCCAACCATATCCTGGCAGCTGGTCGGAAAAATTGAATTGAATCCTTAATAATAATAATATCATATATCCAAAATATGACAATCATGATGATGGGAAAAAACATGTGATGTCTACATATTCTGACACACTGTTGAAAATGAAACATAATATCATGGAACTCTCCTATTATGATTTCTTCTTGTGCGTGGCTGTCCAAAAGACTGAATAAAGAAGTCAAGAGGAAAACCGTCATGTCCACACACATGTGATGTCGTTCAGCCATGCAGTCACTGAATCGGTCATTCAGTCAGTCGTACGATCTTTCAATCATTCAATAGTTGCCTATATTTTTTGCAACAATGAACCAACCTGAAGAGTTCTGCCCATTTCCTTCTGATGATCCCCCTTCTTAATCAAATTATCGTCTCCAGTGACATTGCAGTGAGGTTGTTATAATTTAACCAGATAGAAAACCATATTGTTGGATATATATATATATATCATTGATTCCCATTTAATGGTTGCTTCAATATTGCTTCAATTCGTCCAGTGACGCTTATGCTAATCGCAGTCTTTGAGGATGGGACCCTTATTGATCAAGCTCTGTGATCAATGGGAATTCCAGGATCCTAAAATGGAGGTACTGTACCATATAAGGCCATATTTTGTGGGGATATTCCCTTACACCAATCTAGGATCCTGAAATGGCCATTGATGTGATAGCGGAACATAAAATAATTGACAAACAAAAAAACAAAAAAACAACTGCCCAGTATCGCTGCTCTTTAGGCACCAGTGGATCATTTTCCACATCCATGTAGCCAAAGGTCATGTCGGACAAATCCAGCAAGTGCCATGCCTTCAAAGTTACAGCAGCAGGTGGCATGTTTGATTCGATGTACTCCGAGGTTACAGGAGAATCTTTGGACTTCTTCAAGACGTTGCTCAAGCGTTCGTACATCCAACTCAGGTATCCGGGAGCGTACCTCGTAAAACGTAAAACATCGTGGAATCGTGGACGTCCGCTTTGGGGTACCATGATGTACCATCGTGGACGGGTCGGTTTGGGAACAGTCGAAGTCATCGGGCTTTGGATTCGTGAAAATCCTGGTTCGTCGTGAAAATAATCATGATAATATCACGTGTGTATATCTATACATAATTATTATAGTATACATAATTATCAAATATCCTGGCCATGGGATATCCTGGGATAATGTTCAATAAAGAACCTAGGATATTGATGGCAATAAATACAATCAATGCCATCAACCCATAGGATCCATGTATGGTATATATGGTAACATTTACCATCAATATACTCCCAATGTTAGTATTTATATATACCATACATGGGTAAATCCAAGCTTCAATAATCAGCCCAAATAAATCCAAATAAAACCACCATTCCACTTAACATAGTTGAACTGGAGCAAAATAAGACCACCAATGTCTAGCCAATGTTACAATATGTATTCATCCATCTATGTAGACTTAAACAAAGTTTAGTACTAATTGGTACCTCTCCAGTAATATTGCTTACCTTGCCCAAGATACAAATCAGCACCATCAAATTCAACCACAAGCAAGCAACTCTCGTTCAACCTGGTTAAATATAAATTTTAAATCAACATAGTTAAGCACAATTAAAGAATTATAGTTGAATATCTAGTTAACCACAATTCAGCATATAGTTAAATATAGTTAACCATACTTCAACATCGTTCAACAACTAGACACCCCAAAAACATGGCTCCTTCCGAGATACAGATCATCATCATCAAAGTGCGCAATGATCTCCCCCGCCGCCAGCTCAATGGCCACGTTACGTTTGATCCCTAAGGACCAGGACGTGGGTTGCGCCTCACCCAGGTTCTCCCAGATGTCCTGGTCGCTGATACCCAGCGAGCACGGAGCACCTTTCTTCCACCCCTCCGGAAGGTCCAATCTGCTGTCGGCCACGCGGAAGTGTCCTGTTTGGGTGGAAAATGCTGGGAAAAATGGCTGGAAAAATGGCTGGGAACATCTGGATAAATGCTGGAAAAAAGGTGGAAGGACAGTAAAATCAGTGATTTGACACCAATCAAATACGCAAGAATATAGAGGAGGGTTAATCATTTTGATTGGGAGGTCACACGCGGTTAAACTATACAGTAACTACATTTAAATATACGGACTTTTAAAATATACGAACAGGTATTTTAGACTACCTCCGGGAAGGTTTTCCTTGGCCCGCCTGGCCATTTAAACATACGGAATCCAATTCATTTAAACATACAGTAACTACATTTAATTATACGAACTGGTATTTCATACTACCTCCGGGGCCTCGCGGTCTGGCCCGCCCTCCACATATTTTAAAATTATTTAAATGTCGTTACCGGAATAATATGACCCGCCAAAAAGCTTCCATTTTCGTTGGCAATATCTTTTTGATTCGAACCATAAAATTCATCCCTATGTTTGTTCCAATTTCTTCTCATTTCTTCAACTTCCCATCAAATCCCGAAAAATCATCTATAGATTCTATAGTTATCCAATCTATTTTCTGGAGGTTGTGGGAAAATCCCATTTTTTCTGTTGGTACAGCAAACTCATAAAGACTGCTAAACCCAACCAGGTTTCTGTAGATGATCCTTGGATCCTCTTGAGCCTTCTCCTGGAAAAAGGCCGATGGCTCCGGCCCAGTGTCAACCACCACCAGTTCCTTGGGATCGTAGTCCTCAACGGTGGCCCCCAGTTGTATTGAGACATGTTGTTGTAAAATCATCTATGCTTAGATTAAGAATTATGTGGTGAATTTGGACCTAGGACAATGCAATTATATAATTAATTTGAATAGCTGACATAGCTATAATATCCTATATATATATTATATTATAAATTATATATATATACATATTATAGCTATTTAACTTTGACCCCACCTCCCCCAATCTCCTGCTTGCAAAAACACTCATAGAGCAGTGGATGAAATCCTCTTCTCACCCAACTGGTGGGTGCCACCACCGACACCAACGGCAACGCCTCGTCCTCGGCGGCGGAGGCCCGTGGCCTGGGGCCCTTCACCGCGCAGCGCCGGGGATCGAAGGTGCCCTCGGTCAACGCGAAGAGCGCCGCAGCGCTGCGGCTCCAGCCCGGCGCCACCATGGGCAGCCGCGGCTGTTGAGGCAGGGGACGGTACCAGGAGATGGCGCGAACCTGCTTGGCACGCAACTTCACGTCCTGATTTGGAAGGACTTGGAAGATGGAATTGAAGCAATGGGAATTATGGTAGTTGAAGGATCAGATGCTTTCACCATCTTTCACCTATTTGGGGGTGGAAATCAAAATTTGGGAATAACATGGAATAACTTTTTGAGACCCTAGCATCCATCAACCAGAGCTCCAGGTTCTGATGTTGGTGCCCTGGACAATCGCATCTGCGACATCTCAAGGAACTGTGACCATTGGGCTCGGGTCGGGGCTCGCCCCGTGGCTCCTCATCTGGCAGTTGAGGCCAGTAAAGTTGGCCGAAGCCCGGCAAACCCGGGCAGGTTTTGCACATGCGACAGGGACCCCGGGGAACTCCCAAGGCATCGGCATTCAGCCAGGTGTTTTTGGTATCTGCACCATAGCTGGCAATCAACTTGCCTAATTGAGGCGGAGGCATTGGTTAAAACCACCATGGCCAGGCGCAGTGGGCTGAGGATGGGACATATTCAAAAAGATTGCTTCACAAGTGACAAGTGCGATGAAATTGCTTGATTCATGGTGAGTTGTTAGATCTTCAAATCGTCTTGCCACCATCAAAACGCGTGGGGTTCCTCTTTGTTCTTGGCATATCTTGGCGCTAGTTTTGAACTAGTCAAAGCTGAAATGCACAAAGCCTCAGCCTATGGCGTATGGACAAGTCCTCCCAGTTTTTGTCAGCCGTATTTGTTTACCCTTTTAATTAAAATCTTTAAAGTGTTGGGTACCAAATCGATGATCTTTGTGCCATCGTGGCGATTTCAGGCGAGAAATCGCAGCCGCCTGGAGGGCCTGGATTTCTGAGCTTCAGCCCCAGATTTTCCAACCTGCATGACCATCAATTGACCATCAATCCAGGAATTTCTGGGTGAATATGCCCATTGAAAAATCATTGAAAATCTCATGTGGGATGACCATAGTGGTCATCAATCGCCGAGCAAACCAACGTTCAAACCGACAGACTGGCAGCTGTCAGCAAACTCAGCACGTCGAAAATCTGTCTGTCCGATGTCCAAGAGACTCTTTGCATATCTTGATTGGTGATATTGTTTTATAGGTGTAATGTCAGGGAACTAAGTAGAAAGATAGCAATTTGGGTGACTTCTTCTAAATGGCAAAAATCTACTTTTTTCTGAGTGGGGCACTGTAACAAGAGGGCCGCCATTAGTTACTCCCTAATGAGGAAAAATGTGACTATGTTTTGTGTTTCCAATAAGAAGGAAATTACTATCAATCCAGAAGGATAGATAGATCCCATCTCCTGATAACAAGATCTCATCTCCTGATAACAACCCCCGCATATCGGACTAGGACTAGAACATAATTCATCATAATTCTGATACAACATTAATTATCATCCGATATGACACCGGTTTCTGATCAGGCAGTAATACCCAAAAAACAAAGCCACCAAACAATGCCAAACCCATAACCACTGGGTGTCTTAGGGAGTCTGCACCGCCTGCGTTTGTAAACCAAGCGGAAGGCCTGGTCATCCACATTCACCGGCGGGTGTGGTACATTTTGGCATATGAAATGTTATCAATGGGGAGGATAATGTTTGCCAAATGATAATATTATCAAATATTTTGGCAAATCAAGTGGTACATTTGCAATCATTCCCCAAATAGAGACTAGCCCACTAGAAGCAAACTTCTGCAGCATTGACGAAACGCTGGTTGGTTTCCCCTTTCAGGTCAATGTTGAATTTTGACATCGCAAACTGGAGACTTGTGCAAATGGGTCTGAACAGTATTCGAACATCTCATGGATCATCAGCCGGAGCTCAGGCAAGGACGTCACGTTCAGGTCCCTGGCGCTCTTGGAAACGCAGCTGTTCCGGCCAAACAATCTGGTTCAATGGATACTTGGCCGATTTCCAGTGCATGAACGGAACACGTTTGAACTTCTAGACTTGGAGTTTTTGTGTACCAAGAATAAGTGTTTTTCCAATGTTTTTCATAGTGAGGAATGACGAAAATCGGTGGTTCTCCAACTGAAATTTCGATCCATCCAGAGGGGTCAAGGGACACTGTTGGCCTGCGAACCTGACACTGATGAGTCTAATCCCAAACAAGCAATGGATGTCCAGACCATTCCAGACCCTAAATTGTGCCTTGAAAAACCCACACATTGGAAGGTTATCTTCCCCTAAGCTCCAACCGTGCAGACTGCTCCACCGATAGGTCTGAAATTTGATCGGTTTACTTCCCCCAAAACCTGTTGTAATATCGGATCATCATTCCAAGAAGAGGTGAAAACAACTAATAAAATTCAACATATATGAACCATATAATGTCAACCCCGGATTAATAAACCATGGTTTATTAATTAGGGGGGTACTCCTCCAATTTTCATAATCTGACACTTACAGTAAATGGTACCCTCCCAATTAAACAGCCTAGGGGTTATTAATGTTAACCCTGGATTATATAATATATTATAATATATAATATATATATTAATATATTGTAATTATATATGATATATATATATATATATCTATATATAATTATATAATATATATTATTCAAAAATCAGCGATCCTTTAATCATGATTGATCCATCTCAGAGTTCGGACACTTTTCACCACCTAGCGCCATGACCTGAAACCTTTGGCGCAGGCTGGGAAATCCCACCCAAACTGGTAGCTGAGTTTGGGTCAAGAAGGGCCCATTCTTCCCCCCGTCATCCCTATCTCTTGTTAGTTACCCTCACTGATCCAAAAAATCACTTGTAGCTACTCTGGTAAATTGTTTTTATTCTCAAGTTTCTGATGTTCAAATCACCATCGGCTGTACATGTTTGTTGGGCGAAATCATCATTGTTGATGGTGAATCCCTTTATTTGATGGTTAAATCGCTATTGTAGTGGTTGAATTTTAACATTCTTGCTGGTTGAAACACCATGTCTATCCATTTCTGTTGGTCAAATCCCATTTTTTGTTGGTGAACATGTCATTCTTGGTTGGTGAAGCCCCGTTTTTGCGCGCTGCTTCAAATATCCTTTTAGAAATTGTCGCTTTAAATCCAAACTCCCGGAGCCTCCCCTCGAAGTACATAAGCCATGGCCATCAAGGTCAAAGCATTGGCTTGTGGAAAGAACATGGAAGAAGGGACTATGAAATAGAGATATTTTGGCAATCAAAATGCTTTTAGGTGAAAATCTGGCTGGACACGTTTTGGATGTCACCCCAAAAAACTACGTACCAGAAGATGATAATGATGATAAGCACCAACTATTGTTGGGACACCCCAAGATGGTAAGTTTTGTCTTGGGGCATCTTGGGGAAATGGAGTAAAAAAAACAATCAACCGTAATCAACCATTCTGGTACTGTAAACAAGAGTAACACATGACTGTTTCTGCTGCTGCTGCTTGAACTGCTCGTGCATGTACAGAAAGGTCGTGATTAAGTGCTAATCATCGTGCATGTCATACTGCTCGATTGTTACGCAGAATGAAACCTCTGATACCAAGCAATTAGCAATAGTACCACTGCTTGACCCTACACTATAGTTTGAGCCAGGCTTTGCTGTTATTACAAGTATGGTGATTCGTGCTTACTCCACCTTGTTTCCTTCCCCCTAATATTCTAATATTAAACACCCCCCAGAAACCGTGGTTTGGTAGGGGATTCACACATATTTGGGATAGGGGGATGGGATTATTCATTCCAACCCAATCACTTCATCCGGAAGTGTTGATTGTCCTCAACGTTCCTCAAAGAGCAGCTAGTCATCGCCAAACACTCACTGCATGTCTTCCAAGGTGCCCCAATTGAACCAACTAAGGGGGCCCAAATTGATTGATGCACCTCGACATTAGAGCCTTCCCTTGTAGGGGTCAATATCAATGAAGGGCATGAAGGGTCAGTTGCTCATCAAATCTGCCTTGAGAGCATCTCCAAGTTGACTAGTCCTTCTTCCGCAATCTCCAAAGGATATGGTTTCCTCTTCTCCTTTCTTTCTACCTACTGTAAGTCGCCAACTGGAAGACGCTCCACTTTAAAAGGGACCATCATGACATTGACTGAAATTGACTGAAATTGACTGAAATCCGAATCTCCCAACATCTGCCAACTGAGTCACCCCGTTTCCCAAGAAAAAAGTGATGCGAAATCCATCCTCCCAACCCCCTGGCAGTCCGGCAGAGGATTTTCCAGCGCAGCTGGCTTGAAAGGTCACTGCAACAGATACTCCGACACGCCGCCCAGTGGTTTCACCCCAAATGATCCGCCCAATGTTAGCTGGAAAAAAAAAACCAGTGACCATCCGCCCAATGAGCTATAAAAAAAACTGAATTAGCATGAATATACGCCATTGATATCCATTGATAAGCAATTCTTGTGGATCACTTCGGGCCAACTTCTTGGAATCTGAGGGTATCGCTGGGTCGTCCCCTATCGCCGTTTGGGGATGGGTTTGGGGTCGTCTGGTGCTGTCCCCTGTGGTTAGGATGATCTGTTGAAAACTAGCCATCTTAGTAGGTAAACATGCCTTTTTGGGCCAATAGCTTCTGGCAGCTGCTCATCTTGTTGTTCCATGTTGTTCCAGGGGTAATTAGATGTCATATGATGTAATTATTAGGGTGGTTCACGCAAAACAAAGTGCACATTTTCTCCATGTGTGTCCTTCCGCAAAACGCCCCTGAAATCCTGGATAAGTTATACCTATATCTTCGAAATATGGCATCACACATGACATCACATGAACTGGTACAAACCTCAAAACATACAGATGGGAAACGCGCCTACATCATCTTACATCCCGTTGCCAGGGAAATCACAGGAATCAAGTCCGACTCAATGAGCAATGAGAGCCACTTATACCTTCTAGAATCCCTCACAAATTGTCGCTTCCAAAATAGTGGTACCCCCAAAATAATCCAAGTCATTGGACGTGTATTGAACCTACATATACCTATATGGCTATGGATCAATACCTATACATACCATTTTTGGGGGGATGAACATCCATTTACCAGCTATTTTGATGTTCACCAGGGGTAAAAGGTTTTGACACACTGCCATATGGGTTTAGAGCCCACTCCAATTTATTTCAGGGCAGTCAGAGAGTCTGCCCGTGCAGGCGTGGCTTGGCCAGCGCATCGTGGCAAACATCGCAGCTGGAACAACGACACGAGTCTCCAACCCCCTGTGGGTTGAGTCCCTATGATCCCATGATGACATGGCCAAAACACCAGAATTCTGGGTTGGTTACATCATGTTACATCACCGAAGTTGCAATGTGTTGCCCTTAGGCACCTGCACTTGGGGAGAACATTCAGATGGTTTGGGCAACGGATCTCCCAACCGTTTTTTGTGTCTTTATGTGTCTTTGCGTGGTGTCCAAAGACCTTCGAAAACCTGAGATAATAACACCATGCTTAAGCCGATACAAACCAATTGATAAAATGTTAACCTTTGAAAACCGCGATAAGTAGCTACACGGCTTTCAATGACAAATAAGCTTTGAAAACTCGGAACAATTGTACAGCCTGGTGTAACTCATCTTAGACATCACCAAGAGCAACCAGGTTTTACTTGATTGATGTGGCCTTACCTTCCCCGAAAACACAACAACGAAAACACACATGGACAGCCAATCCAAGCCGGTAAAATCCTGGAGGTATTCAGAATTCTCTCCCCACCAGTTGAAGTTACAAAACTTGCAAGCGGACAAAACAAACTTAAGACCCCCCCAACCCACACCTTTTGAATATTTAGTACAGCATGCATATGTTCGGGCATCAAACCGTCTCAACCTATTCAACCTCACCTTTTCGCAGGATGAATCACCATTTAACCACATCACCATTTAACCACCGTATCTATAGCATTCTATAGCCACTAATTCGACTATTTCACCACCATTCCAAAGAAATTGGATCCGTTCACACCGACCCATCGAAACTCAACACGGCTTGGCCGTAAAATGATCCCCGCGCAACTCGCCGGCAGCGGGGAGTTGCCGCAACGAGCAACGAGCAACGTTGCGTTGCCGCAACTCAGCTGTTCGCCTCGCTGGAGGAATCCATGGTGGTGGTTGCTGCTGTTGCTATTGCCGTTGTTGATGATGATGGTTACCCTCTGGTGAACTAACATAGCAATGGAAAATGGCCATTTATAGTGGATTTTCCCATGAAAAATGGTGATTTTCCATTGCTATGTTAGTTCACCAGAGGGTAGTTAAGTTAGCAAACCCTTAAAATCCATGGGTAAAACATCTGCGCTGCAAACCTTGCCGGTTTGCCCGCGGCGAATCCCGCATATCCGTTGACTTGCTCATATCCCTGCGTAGGGTTTAAGTTTTTTACTTTCCAAAACAACAAACCGTAAAACCCTAAAACCCTAAATTAACACCCTAAATCCTGAAAACTTAAAGTCACAATCACTGCGTGATCCGCCAGTGTTATATATTCATCCTCTGGTGAAATGGAAAATGTCCAGCAGCACATCCCCAACATCAAAACCAATCGGCATCATCGTCATGTCATCCGCAAAACAAATGCAAAGGTATGAGATTGAATTTATCTGGTTGGTTCAAGCGAAAATATACAGGAAACCTCAAACCTCTACATTTGATTTTGATATATATATATATATAATATATATATGTGATGGTAAGAACTGTAATAAATCATGGTTTCCTGGAGATTTTCCCTTAAAAGCTTTAAACCAATCGAATGATTGATGAATGCAAATGGACTGTGGAGCCCTGTCCCCCTAAATGGATCGTTCCATGGTCTATCTTGGGAGCAGTGCAATCCCTGCAGCTGGCGGCCCAAATCTTCTCAGTAACTTCTGCATTCTTGCTGTTCTTCCGACATGTTTCTGAGAAAATCTTGAATACCCTCTGGTAAACTAACATAACTATGGAAAATCACCATTTTTAATCGGTAAATCAACTATAAATGATCATTTTCAATAGCTATGTTAAATGACCGAAAGGTATTCCATACCCCCAGGAAGTTCATTGCCCCAGAACACTAACGCGTAACCCCGTGAATGGGCCTTGGTGGGCGATCTCACCTCATTGTTCACGGACTCTCCAACCATTGAGCCACACCCAGGAACTTCATCAAGCCCAAGGGACGATACAGGGATCTGACAGCTGACGGCGGCTCAAAGAATGGATCTGACGGTGCCGGCGGCTCAAAAATGGCAACGCATGCTGAAGTCCGAATGGAGAAAACCGTGGTCAAATCAGTAAACCATGTTTTTTCTGCATCATGTATTTGCCATATCAAAGTTATGAACGTCATGTCAGACCAATTTCTAGCTACAAGTATTGTATAGAAATGTAAAGAGCCAAGATGAGCCAAGCATCATAAATATATATATATATTCCACTGGATACAGTTGAGCATAGAAATACACAGAATCTTCCAGCTTTGAGCTTGGTGGCACACGCTGAACACACAGCATGTAGTAACCGGTGCCTCACCAAACGCCGGTGGGGACGATGCTACCGTCCTGCATTGGCTGTTGAGAACGGGATTCACAGTTCATGATGAGAATCCCTAATTATTCTTGGCTAGTACATCCCCTGGTAATCAAACATTGCAATTGAAATTCCAACATGAATGGAGGTTCTTGATAGGAACATCAACTATATTCTTATATGTATGTATAAATCCAGCAAACCATGGTAATCGAGAGGAACCCCAAAAAACATCATCGACCAACATTGGTTGATAACCGCCACTGCTCAGTTGGAGGGAGACATCAAATGTTTGGGATTCAACACATCCCTACTATTTTAGTATTATGTTTGAGTCAAACTGCATGAAATAATCCCCCTTGGGGTATTGAACAACAAGACACATGACGGCAGCAGACACCAATCAGAAACTTTGGTCCGTGAATCGTTGTTATGAAACTATTATAGTTACTATAAAATATACTATATATATAATAAATCACCATTTTAGGTGTCTTTCGTACCCATCAGGGATGGTAACTTATTAATGACGCCATGGTTCTCCGAACCAGCATGAAGTTCTACCAGTCATCAGGCTCACCGAACGTTTCAATGTGAAATAATCCCAACTTGTGCACCAGCTGA